GTTAACAATTGCAAGCATTGTATTGACCGCATAGATATACCCTCGAACATTATCAGTCTGAGAGTAATACTCATCCAGCTTTAATTGGCACGTTTCGAGTGCGTCAAGCATATGTTTTTTCCATGGGATACGCTTCCGTTGGCGCTGCTTCATTGACTGCTCAAGATGTTCAAGAGTTTGTTGTAAACTTTGAACACATAATGCGCAGTGATATCCCCAGTCTTTGAAAGTTGAGTGGTATAGTCAAAGAATAGCTCAGTGATGCAAAGAAGATAGTCTACTTGGCGCCACTTATCATTATTAAGTAAAAGACCCTCACGATCATACTCAACGCAGAAGGGTGTAAAGATTAGCACGGAGCCGCTTTACGCGACGAAGCATTAGGAATGTTAAGTTCCACCGAGCCTTCACATCCTGGATCGGCATAAGCTTTGGGTACCTAGTCTGGAGATTACTGAATGTCTCCCGACGCTGAGGACTTACGTTCACATAGATCGCAAGATAGCGGATCTTATTTAATGTGTAGGAGATCTCTCTCCCCTGGTGTTATGCATTTACCTGGACCATTGAAGACTGTTGCTCTGTCCACTTTGTCTCAGTTGTGTCGTTTAATGACACTGCCTTGATATGACCAACAAGCTGGTTAAGGCTGAGCTGGATAATATGTTCAAGGCACGGAATTCGGATAATAAGAACACCATCCGATAGAGCTTGCTGAGTGAATCAACCAATGTCTTGTTGTTTGATGCGTTATCCGTAGTCACACCAAATACCCGGTCTTTAATCTCATGCTTCACAAGGTTTTCCACAAGGACACTACTTATGTTCGCACCAGTATGCGCCCCATGAATAGGTTTGAAATCAAGTAGCACCTCCCGATAGACCAAATCAGCATTGAAAAAATAGCCAGTGATCGCCATAAAAGCCTGAGAATATGGGATTAAAAACTAGCCTTATACCTCTTGAAACATCAATGGAAAATCGTGACAGCCGAAGCAACCGGCTGGCTGTGTGTTTCGCGAGGCAGCTTCTGCCGGCGAGTCCGTGCCACTCAGTGGTGAAATCGAGGAGGCATTCGGTCGGGTTGCGGCTGCCTTGGGCATAGCATCGGGGGAAAATAGCCAACTTCATTACAGCGACCTGACAACGTCGTTAGTTGGCTTCCAAATTATTCTAGTTATGAGAACGTACTTGCCAGCTTCGTTCATGAAATGGGTCCTGGTGGCAGCCTTGCATCACCTTCTGCATTCGAACACAGCCGAAGCAATTTGCCGTTGGATACACTCGATCTAGTACCAATTATCAGCAGCTGACGCAAGATGGTCGTTCGAAACTTACCTTGCTCGCGGCCTAGATAAGATCCCCCTATACCAGCCATAATACACTATCCCGATCGGACTTGTGGGAACGGCCGAACCAGTGTTATGTTTCACTGCCTCCCCATATCAGCATGACTTCTGGTGACTGAAGATGGTACAGACTTGTCGTCAATGTATTGTAGTATCAGCAAAGGCCAACCAGAGATGTAGCGGGCTCAGCTCGATTACACGTGCACGAGGGCCCGGAATCACTCCGTACCGCGGGGAATGGATGTTGGCAATATCTGCCAATACATAGCTGTTTCGTCTTTGCTGTTCGTGCGCCAGGCAAATCTTCAACCGTGTCAGGACAAAGTGCCACTTATGGAAAAATCCATGATATTTGGTCTAGGTTTCACTAGGAACTGACCTGAAACGACTGTTCTCGCGGCGAGAGACCTGGTAGATCCGGTGCTGCAGCCTGGCTTGTCGCTTGCTCAGCTACAACCAGGCTTGACAGAGCTGGCCCTCAGCCTGTGGCCAAAAGCTCGATTCGTTGCTGATTGATATTATCCCCGGACAAACTGTGGTCTTTCTCGGTGGTCGTCGATGCTCGGCTTCTCTTCGTTGTCGCTGGATGTTGCAATAGCTCACTCGGCCTAGCATCGGACCGGATCATGCCGTCGTCGAAGCTTCGAATCGGATATGGGACAAGGGGTGCAGGGCCGTCGGGATACGGAAGCTAATATAGTGACAGTTAACTTTGGTCGGACAGGATGAAGCCGGGAGAGATAAAAACATGTTGAAACTCTACCATATGGCTAATCAAAGGGCACTCAGCCTTCCTAGGTTTGTTCCGTCAACGTGGGCGAAATGGACGTTTCAAGCAGGTGTCTTGGAACAGCGAAATAGAAACGCACTGGGATTCATTGGTCCGGCCCGACATGCATCCTTAGTTTTTAGGACAATGGGGAAGTACGGCTCGGTCGTGGCGAGTGCCATCTTGAAATTTGTCCTATGACTAGAAAGATGCATCAGCGATCTTTTCTGTTGGACAGAGAGCACGACAAGATCAAACCTCAAGTAAATAACATCTGCACTGAGATCCAAAATGCACCCCCGGCCATGGAAATGGGCAGAGGCAACGCACCAGAGTGACTTAGAGGAGATCGAGCGGCTCGTGATAGAAATTTTGCTTTCTTATGCAGTGAGTCGTCAGCCACGGATGATACTTTTGAAACTTCCAAAATGACCGAAACTTACTTTCCCGGCAGCAGCTGCGCGCTGTATTCTAGCACGGTCAAAGCGGCTGCATAAGGGATGGCTTCGACCTATATTAATCGTCAGTAGGTAGCCTATGAGGGCACTTGATGACTCACTGTGCTCGCAGCTTCGATCATTTCTAAGGTCATCCGAGGTCAGTCAAATGGGTTCCCAGAGGAGTAGCGGAGGCGGGACAGATATCAAGCATCTTCCATTTTAGCATGATTTCAAATAAATGAGCAACGACACTCACTTGCTGTTCAAAGACTTCATTATCGAGAAAGACAGGATAGGGCGATCCACCGGGTCAGCTATATCACAACTGCATGACAATCCGGGGTCAGTCTATACCAAAGAGTAGCCCACAGAAACGAAAAAGCGTTCGATATTCTTTGAGCCAGAATGACAAAGGAATGCTTGAGAACGACTGTTCTCCTGTCGAGGGATCGGGTATTTATAGCATTGCAGCCAGTCGTTTTGCTTACGTCGATGCAATGATCATTGTGAATTGTGAGGGCACAAACACAGACGACTCTCTAATTGCAGCTGGTTCAAAAATTAATCATTGATTTAACGCAGCATTCGGAGGCATTGCATTCTTTTGGTGATATAGTTTATGAAAAACCTTTTCTCACTCTTGGCACCGTTTAAACAGTCGTGGTAATGCCGCACAAAAGCATCGATGACGCGTTTCATCATTAACCATCATCAGTCCGTACCTTATTGCGACGGGAAGGAGCAGGGCGGCAACAGATCATGCCATTTCATTTCACTCACCGATGATGAGCGCATTCTTTTACTCAAAGAAAACCCCATCAAAATTAGACAAACATCAAGCCACGTTGCACCCTTGGCTACCTACTAGCCCAACCGCAGAATTGTTCATGTTCATTCAGTGCTGGTATCTACCTCATAATATCAGAATAAGTTTATCACACCTTCTACACAATATCAAGAAGATACAGGCTATAGTGGAGCGTGTTCCTGATCCGCACAGCCCCCATCTCACAACAGATCCCCTTGTTCTCCCGCTTGCTCTTGCCAACTATCCTTTCTCACGCTTTCAGAAGCTCTGAAGAATTGACAGATGGCTTCAGTACAGGTGTAATTGCCGCTTGAATATGTTGTGAGATTGTGATAAATCGAATTTCCACCCTTCGTTGTCAATATTTGACGAGAGAATGGAAATAAGCGGGCTATTTTTGTACATGGAGTAGCAGCTTCACACGCCTTTTGACCTTACAGTCATTAAGCACACATCCTTCTTCGCCTCCAAGTTTCTCGTCATTGGTACCTACAGTATAAGTGATTTGTGATTGGCCATCTAAAATTATCATTTAACTTGATGCCAACAATCTACATGGGACTCTTCATTGCAAATTAGGCAATGGACTGACTTTACATGGCCCACATAGGACAAATGATAAGTTGGATCTAATTTGTGTTAGCTCTCTCGTCAAATGGGCTCGACAACTGGAAAGAATTAAGTCAAGTTCAATTATTCATATCCTTGAAATTACGCCTAGAATAGCAGCACCTAGCAATAGAAGGCTCACGCTTGATATATGCGCTAATAAGATAAGTAGCTTTTTCCGGCCTCGCGTGGCGCATTTTGTTAATACCATGCCATCTAACCAAGGTGATCCAAGAAAAGTAGGAAGGGCGTGATGCAAAAAATGAGGTCGAGCAGAAATGGCCGGACAAATGTCACTAATATCTTTGAGATCATAGAGGCCAAAGCATAAAGTTACCATGCAATACGTGTTGATCGTTTTATGAATGGATTATTAAGCTGCTGGCAACCACTGCAGAGAAACTGGGCGAGTATTAGCTTAATAGTAGCCCATTTAGTAACCGAGACGTTCTGTTTGTATGGACGGTATTATTGAAAGAATTACATGAAGGACTTGCATCCATATCGATGGCTTCTCTTGCCCCAGAATAACCCTGTCAAAATGGCGGACAGAAAAGAAGATAAGACGTACAGTGCCAACCCCATCTTATAACACAGCCAATCGCCTTCGAAGACCCACAGAAAAAATAGCCTGGCAATCAAGGCGAATAGAAGCGTTGTAATTAGCAGTGATTGGATGGACGGTTCGGAAGCCATGGCAAAAGCAAATCGAAATAGATGTGTCGCGGTGCGAAGAAGGCGCACATGGCGAAACATAGGTTATCAAATACGGCGACGCTTAATTGAACTCCAGGAAAGCCTTGGAGATGCCCTAGGAAGAGGTTGGTCAATTCGAAAACCAAGTGCACCATTATGTCGATTATGTTTCCGTAGAATATTTTTCTCTGTGACCAACTTCAAGCTTGCGTAAGGCAATATCCAGATCGACCTCCTAGGAGCCATGTGAGTGCAGGAAGGTTGTTATCGCTTCAAAAAAAATGATAGTAGACGCGCAGTCAACGCCGTCATCTTCATGATATCCCTGGCTACTGTAGATATGTTTCTGATGTATGCAATTGTTCCAGAGACCCAAAACTGCCGGAACTCGCGGTCCAGGATGCATTAGAGCCCACCATGGACATCAGCAAATCGTCGATGTTGGTATCTGAATTTGAGATGAGCTCCGACATATCTGTATCAGCGTCGAGCACTGCTGAGGTACTTGGTATTATACTCAAAGAAGACAGAGTTCCTTCTGAATCATGAGATCGTGTGTCGTCGTATATATTGTCATACCTAGACAAATTGGGTGAATCCATCCACTTCAAAAACTCCCGATCATTCAAGGAGTGCAATTCTTGCTGAGGCGTCATTCCATTCTCTTTGGGTGAGTCTCGAAGCCATGGGAAGTTCGGATCACGGGAGGTTTGAAATGATCCGAACGTCGAAGGGATGCCGCTCAGGTCGAGGTTATTAGCGGGAGCTATGCGACCAATGCAGCTGCTGAAGAACTGAAAGGCCCGTCGAGCGGCCTCTGAAGTTCTTCCCATACAATGTAGCCAACAAAGACCTTTCTTCGTCCTCGTCCAAACCAGGTCTGACGATTCAACAGAAACTGTCCTTTCATCTGACCTCGTCGGTATTGGACCAATTGAAATATCGAGAAGTAGTATTACAATCGCCTGAGTAAGAACATGTAATAGATCCCACCACTGCAGGACTTCATAACACCAAACCAGGTCCGGTTGATCTGGTAGTAGTGCCATGATAGCCAGGGACGCACGGAGACAGTTGAGAGCGGCTGCATTGGCAAACTGGGAACGAGAAGGCTGTGAGCCGCTTTTCTTTCCAAATGCATGGCTGTTGAGGCAAGGTCGATTAAGCACGATGCGGGCGCTGTAGTAATTCAAAGCGAAGGAAATTTGAAAGGGGGAGCTGATTCTCAGTTGTGGATTACCTTGACTGTCTTGGAAACTGAACGAAGGATGTAAAGTCGATATCCAGTAATCCACCTTCTTGCTATAAAATTCTATACGGCCTTCGACTCGCGCTCGGCCTGCCCGTGAACTGTCGATCACATATACTTCATTAGCGATGGTATGGGCGATCAAAGACAGATCTACCATATAAAAAAAATAGAGGGATGTGCTGGGAGTTAGCGACTGCAAAAGATTCCTCTGAGAATCCATCTGCTTTTTTCCCAAATCTATGGTCCATCGGTGCGCGTTGGCTGACGGGTGGATGTCCGGTCCTGCGGATTCCAGAACTGGCCCGAGAAGTGGCGGAGGTGTGGAGCAGAAAGCACTTCCGAGGCAGGAAACTCTCCCGGTCATGACAAAAAGAACATTCTCCAGGCGAAAAATCGACCACCACAGTAGCTTGCGAGCTTCGTCTGATTTAAAATCGTGCTCGCTTGTCTTTTGCCGAAGATTGATCCCTAGCGCGATAGCCGAGCGTACCGCAATGCCAATTATTTTCCATGATCTGAGATAGTGTTAAAAGCCAGAGCAAGATAGAAGGGATCCGTCAATTGGAAAGGCACTCTTGAGAAACCCACATCATACCTGTTTATTTGCGATACGACCAGGAAGTAGAAAGCCAGCAGGGCTTCGGCCTGTACTTGTTGTAGATCATCATGATCATAGAGAACGCTCTCTGAAAGGCTCAGATATTTAGCTCGTGCCAAAAAGAGATTCTCATCTGCCTCCTGCTGTAGGTTCTGTTCAGAAAGTCGACAAATAGCGCACCCGATGGCGAAGATCATATTGAAAATGGCCAACCATTTTCTGCCAGGATTTATAAGGCTCCCAGAGTAACAGCGGTCGTACTGGGCAATAAAGAGGTCCCGTCGAATGAATGGGAAAGAAATGTCAACCTTCGTCAGATAAATTTGGAATAATTGATCTGCTAGTGATTTTGGTGGCAAGATGAAACCATTGGTTACATTCAAATTCGAGATATTTTGATAATCGAGGTTGTAGTTCATTGATGCAATTGAATCGTCAATTGGAAGCTGGTGCCGTGGGATCTTATTTGGAGGGGCTTCTCTGTCACTCCGCTTCGTAGTCGTGTTACTGCTCCTGGCGTCCTTCCATTTGTACCCCATCCACTTGGTGATGGTGCTGGTATCAGTTCGATCTTCCAGCTGCTTCTGAGTCCAAGCGCTGCATCCACGTCACTTCAGAATTCTTCCCCATATGCCCAGTCGCCCTGCTTTTCTTGCTCCGATTAAGGTCCTCCTTCACAACATCAATTGCGTCCAAAGAACCGATAGAGGACGAGGACGAGGCACTAGAACGCCTATTTTGAGGCCCTTTAGAGTTTGCATGACGTGGGCTCTATATGAGTTTATGTTAGATTCCTTGTAGTTTAACCTTGCCAATTCTAGGAGCCTCGCATACTTTGAGTGCCTTCGCAACCTGATCAGCAGTAGGTCCCTCGAGTTTTAGCGAAATATTTCGAAGCAGTTCTTCATAACTTTCGACCTTGCTCCTCATCAATTCTAGGTCTTTTTGCTGTCGAACAACTTTGGCATCCGAATAAAAACAGTTGTTTAAGCCCTGGGCATGACAAAGTGAGCAAGCAAGCCGGTTGCCATCACATTTGATTTTCCGTTGTCGACAAGAGTCGCAAGCCCGACTGATCCGTCGTCCTCCACTTTCCCGTCTTTCGCGTCGTAAGCGTGGAATAGGAAGCTTATCCGCCATTCTCACACTGTAACGAGAATCTCGTGTATTCAAGTAGATATTTCGCTGTCATAATAGGACCTGAGTCGCGTCAAAAGAGAGTGAAGCAATTCAAAAGAGAGTGAAGCAATGGCTTAGGCTTCCTTATTTGAAGGCGCCATTTTTCTTGCCCCTATTACGTCATGGTAACTGATGTGAAACAACTGGACTGCAGTTCTATTCGCCGAGCTAAGCAGATTCACCATTTAACTATTGAAAGATAGGAATGCTCCCTGGCAGTCTGTCAAGCAGACGGGTCGATCGCGAAGAGACAAAACCACCACACTCGCAGAGTGCAGGTAGGAGATAGGCAAAGCGTGACGCTATCGAGATCTGACAGAACACGCAATAGAACCTTTCGCAAGCAGTATACCGATACCGCAACCTCAGCAGCCTTAGTAGAACATTTCATCAGGGGAAAATCGCATGCTGTATTGAAACTATCGAGAAGGTCCTACTTATTCCACAGGAGAAACGGATGCCTGGTTACTAAGGCATCGATCACATGACTCCGTCGTTGAGGACGGAAAACCCCATTACACTATGTAGTACCCCACTGGCAGTAACCCACGCCGCTTATCGGGCATCCTGAAATATGGATGACGTCATATGGCCGCAATGTGAGAAGGCAATTTTCCCCTCAATCGTCGCTAGAGTGTTTCTCTCGCGACCAACAAAACCTCTTGATGTGAATGTTTCCGATTAATTTATGCAGCACGCTGTACCAGTACCAAACAGATGACCTTCTGCTAACGAGGGGATCTATACGAACCGTGCCTAGGGAGAATCGACTGGTTGTACCGGCCTAAATCTGCACATTTGCAAGCCCTGCATCCTCACACAATTACTCGTCTGTAGACGAGTGATGTCATATAGCTTTGACTGACGTATTATCTATTTGAAAACTTTGTTGAGGCCGGTTGAAGGACAGACCATAAATACGAAGAAGCTAAAGAATTACTCCTTTTACTTTCAGAGATCAAAGCAATCTATCCAACATGTCAAAATTCGTTCCCAAGGCTGAAGAGGTTCTGACCGGGGACCACCACGACTCAATCCGCTCATCCGATTGTGAACCTCACAACTCGAACCCAGCTAATAAGGTCGGACTTCATGAGGAAAATTACCATAGTAGGTGACGCTCTCAGCGAGATGGGCTTTTACTTTGTTTATCAGGAAGCTAACCTAGCTTGCAAAGACAAGCATGCTCGTCATGAAACTATTGGGGGAACTGAAGGCTCACGCGACACTAGCATGACCAAGAAACCTGACCCAAAAATCGACAGTGAAAACGGTAGGAGAGGTTATGCACATCGATTTTAGTTACAGTAACGATGGCTGACTTAGTCAGACTCTCGAGGCACCCGACGCGCGCCTGATTATTACCATCTTGATTCGGCTGATTACTATGGTCATGGCGGAACCACTGGCGTCCATAAATCCTAATATCGCCAACGATCTTGATCCTCTTATTGTTTCAGATAGACACAACCGAGCTCGGCACGAATGTGTCGCGAGCATTAGTTTGGGTACGTCTACATAGACGAATTCCAGCGCTTCATTGATTTCGGCGCACGTTTCGACTACGGCATAGATAAACTTACATGCTACAAGTTCCTAGGTGTAATAGGCGTGTTTAGGTGCACCTGAAACGCTGAAAGAAATCACTACGCTGGAATTTTCCCACAAGGTTCACATCTCCATACCCATTCCGAGGCTCTTGACATTCAATCCAGCCGTGATATTCCTTTGTCTCATCCGCTATATGCGGGTCTAGACATCTCTATTGAGCATTCGCACTGGCTAAAATTAAATAGTGAATGAGCTCTCTGGTTTCTTGCCGAGTTTCGGCCCAACTGTTTCAAGATCAGTGGCAATACACTTGACCTGGGACACGCACCAGAGCGGATTTCCTTTGTCAGATTTTGTACTTGTCACGACTGCAGGTGATATGCCACGCCTGCAAATGTCGTCGCACGGCCATGTAAAGACGGGCTCCCAAAGAGTGACGTTTCAAAGGTACTTAAAGTAAGCGTTGTTCTAGACTTCTAGCGTTCCCGAGTCTGTTGTCGATACTACGTCACACCGCCCTACGACACAGTAACATCATAACACAGTAACAACATAACATGTCACTCGCCCAAATCAAAAAAAATTGCAGCCATGGTAAACTCTCAATTTGCAAAGACTTGATATTTCACCAGCTGATGAAGATTATCAAGCCAACGACATGATCTCGGCCTAGTTGCGCCGTCGGAGCGAAAACTTCCATGATGTTGCTCCAGGCAACCCAGGTACCTCGGACGTAGGCAAGAGTAATGGAGCAATTCGCAACTAGGTCGAACGCAGTACTGACCGGTTACTCTTAAATGCCAAAGGTACAAGGATATTACCGCTTAAGAAGGGTCTAAACCCGTCGGTGCCAGTTGTCATGCTTGTGGAAAGAGGAATTTCAATTTTTCATGCAAATCATGACCAGCCTAAGGCTCTCATGGATGCGGAAACGGCATATGAGTAACCGGCGATGGAGCCATGAGGCGCAAATGAACACTTGAAGGAAGCCAGATCCAGAAGGTCAGCCTGTGAGCCCAGCTGTTTGTCCTCTTGGTCGAGCACTTGCTCGAGCAGCTTAACTCCTCGATTAGAACTTCGAAATGTTCCGTGGATGGATATTGGCTTTCGCTGGGAGGAACCCGCTCTCTGTGAAATTGCTCGGGTTATCCTAGTGAAACGATGACTATCGGTACTCGTCTCACCCAAGTCGCTGTTTTCCTGTCCGGTGGAAGACTCTGGGAGCTCGGCATTGCATAACCGACTACGGGAAACAAAATAGATCAAAGCTGTTTGCATTTCATTATTTCTTCTTATTTGGCTTTCAGGCACCTCTGTTAGCACCCATACGGCGGTTCTAGTATTAAAGTTAATCCTGCCATTTTGGGTTTGTTATCCTACTCCAAGCAAATCATTTCTCACACTTTCAAGTCTCACACTCAGGCTTGGGCTCCAAAACCCCAAACAACCAATAATGATGAGAACAAGACGAAGTTAAGTTAAACTTTGATCGCCATAAATTTCTCATGTTGCCAAGCAAATTCACATAATGGGGACAAAATTCGAATTACCTATCAATAGTCATGACATTGGCGAGACCGCGTACTTGATTTCGATAGAGGCAATGCACGGGACATCAAACCCAATATTTTCGTGCCATCCTCGACCCAATGGTAGCAGCCCTGAGGCAGGCCAGTCGCGTACAGTATCAAAAGCAACGAAGACACTTCATTACTACAAACAGACCCCGCCTAGCCTTCACTAGCGGCAGAATCCTCGGGCGCCCATGATCGGAGATGCAAGGTGAGGGGTCTTTGTTGCCATTTCTGTGTTGATTTGAGATTGCAGGATATTCAAACCTCTCTCAGACTCGTTCGGGGATAAACTCAGAGTTCCTTTCGCCTTTCGACAATCTTGTGCTGAACTCGGGTTCTAGACCAGGCTGACCCATTCAGAGTTATCATACCGTCGGCTTCCCGTGATACCGATATGTAACACATGGCTGGAATCTCCAGCATACCGTTCAGTTAGCGGAATAGCATGAGAAGATAAACATTGCGTCACTTATTGGCTAAGACAACAGAATTTCCAATCATGGACTTATATTACGTCATATATACAATCACATGCCAGTATGTGTTGGGTCCTAGATTCAACAGAAAAGGCTTTCGGGACCACGAAGATTTTGTTGGGAGGGAGATGGAAGGGACAGGGACGCCGAGGCTACATCAGATGCAAAATCTAACCTATATATATTCATATCATAAATACCTTAATCCACGTCTGCTTGCTTTTCTTTTTCAACAGTACCAAACTACTCATTATACGAATATTATTGTTAGATTCTTCAAAGCGATTATGATCGGAACGTCCACTGTTGAGTATTTCTTTATTCGTATTTGCATCCTATTTCTTCATAACATTGCACCAATCAGTACATTATACAGCGTTCAGTTACTCGTCGGTCATAGTTTTCATCTGTCAACTTGTCTCGAAAGCATACCTTACCTTATCCATGTCTGGCTCGTTGCAGAGGCTGTCTTTTTCACCACCGTCTTCATACCACTCAAATACGCGCTCCACCATTCTCCTATTTGCCACAGATCTTTATCCACGGAGTGCAGAGAGAAACTGTTTAAGATCTGCAATGCGAATGTGCCAAATCTGGAGAAATATCTCAGCCGGTGGCTTATGGTCTCTGAAGCTGAATGCATCAAGCGCGATAACGTGAAAGACTTTATCAAGTGGGCATTCTTCAGACCTGGATATACGCGGAGGCAGGACGAACAGCATGAAGGGGAAATCGAGACCTATACAACAGAAATTGAGAAGCTGATGGGACGAAAACTGCCTCCGGGAAGGCTGGACGTGAAAGGCCTTGGACAGCTTCTAAATGAAGCAGGCGGTTCACACCGTAGCCTTCTGTGGTATACTGTCAGCTATATCTCTCTCGTCTCTGTGTGATGGAACTCTATCAGGCTGACATTCAAATTGATCTAGTGTGTCTTTGTGGTTGACACAATAATGTACTGCAACATGTCATACAACGGATTTCACTTCCATCGCAGCACGCTCTCACGATTCTGTACCATCTTTCCATTTCGCCCTCTCACAATACTCACGGCCTATCGATCTCCAGCGGGGCATCTCACATACTGGCATCGACGACATACATCGAAGAAACGGCTACCCGTACTATTCATACATGGCATTGGAATTGGCCTGTACCCTTACACGAGCTTCCTCCGAGACCTCAACAGTGAGCTAGAGACAGGAACGACCGCCGATGGAGAAGTTGGCATTATCGCTCTTGAGATCATGCCGGTAAGCTCTCGGATAACTCATCCAGCCCTGGAAAAGGATGTGATGATATGTGAGGTCATGGAGATCATGCGGTATCATGGATGGAGCAGATTCGTGCTTGTGTCTCATTCTTATGGTTCCATAATCGCTGCACACCTTCTTAAGTCCGATCGTTTCTCTGCGCTCATCGGGCCTACGGTCTTTATTGATCCGGTCTCATTCCTCCTTCACCTGCCTGACGTGGCATATAACTTCATAGCCCGCCGGCCAGCACGGGCCAATGAATACCAGCTGTGGTATTTTGGAAGTAAAGATATAGGAGTTGCGCATACGTTGGCAAGGAGATTTTCCTGGATTGACAACATCATTTGGAAGGAGGACCTCGGGATAAAGGCCGAAAAGAACCAAGAGGGGGGTAGAAATGTTACAGTCGTTTTAAGTGGTAAGGATTTGATCGTGGATGCCGAAACAGTGGGGCAGTACTTGATGGGTTCATCATCTGAAGCCCGGACATCAGAAAAAGAAGCATCACGAGCATGGAAAAACAGGTCCTGGATTGGGTACGGGCTTGATCTCCTGTGGTATGAACAGTTGGATCATGCTCAGGTTTTTGATTTTGAGAATACCAGGCGGCCAGTCATCAGGGCGATCTCTGTATATTCGAACACAGGCTGAAACTGGCCTGGTTGGCCGACATAACGGCCAGTAATTGCACACTGCGGGGAGAGGTATGGTCTCGGTATTATCTGCTACGAAGCTTGTGGTGCGCCAGTTTGAGATTTGAGCATTACCAACACGTTTTGGTTCAAAATAAAGAACTAGTAGATATCAATTTATGTATGCTTGCTTATGCATCACTTTATCCATTCATCCATTCATAAACCCCCGTGTCTTGTGCTATAACTATCCATAAGGCATTGAAAACTTCTACCGCGCCCATAAACAGAGCGTATATCAATTGATAACATGGTAGATATATCAAGGCGTTTAGCTACAACTTGCAGTCTAGGCTCGGTGAGGGATGAGTTTATGTTTGATTTCTGAAAGACAATTTTCTTTTAAGAAAGACAATAATGAAGGGAATGACTGGCGGTAATAGCATCAAGCATTTTGCTGGATGATAATCATGCTCATGATCCCTAAAACTATTTGAAATATGCCCCCCGCTGTCTTCAGCCTTGTCTTGCTCACGGTTATGTGAGGGAATACTGATAATAATTAGCTCTAAAAATGTCATCAATATCGGAGAATAGACTAACCTTCCACTGCGTAAGTTTGCCGTCAACTCGATGTAGTCTACCTCCATGTTCCTGGCTAGCAATCTAAGGCCAGTCAATTTCATGGGCCATCCTCGTTATTTAAGTTGTTAGGATTGCTGAAGGCGGTTTCCTCTAGAAAAGCCTTGTTCTTGTTATCATTCGCGACGCCAAGGACTTCCATCACGTCCTGTAGATTCCTGTCTTTAGAGGCAAGCTTCTTGTGATGGTCGCCGATGCCGGGCCAGAATCTGAGATGCACTTCTATGTGCCCGAGTTTCTCGCCATTCTCCAGCCCATAGTTAGCCTCTGCTCGCTTGACATCACCTTTCCACACTGGCAAGGTCATCATCTTCTCCTCATCATCAGGTATGTCTTTGAGCCATAGAATAGCGAATACTGGAATATGATGATGGATATGACCTTTTTCCAGAAACTCAATAACAAGACTGGAGCAATAACGTTTTTGTACCGCTAGTTCAATTGGCTGACTTTGACGGCCACCCCAGACATCAAGTTGTATCCTCATAGGATCGCTCCCGAATGAAGTATGCAGTTTCAAACAAAGTTCCTTATAATGGTCGGGCAAATCACTTGATTTTATATCGGACCTTATCTCGAGAGTGCCGTACTCCCAACATGAGAGTTCTTCGGGCGCTTGTAATTCTATCGACCGAAACACCATCGAGATACGAACGCGACCATGTCCTGCAGCCGTAAATTAGTTGAAGTGGATTTATCCTGATGAATGTAGACTTACCAATACCACCGGATAGTGAGAAATAGTCATTAATTTGAGATCTTTGTTTGAAAATCTCTGCAAGTGGCAAGACAACAATTCCGACTAAAGGGTCGTGTTCATGCATGCGAAGATCACGCACTGTAAGTATGACCTCTGTTGTCCTCCAGTCGCGGATGAATCGTTCTGCTCCAACGTTGAACTATTCTGGCGTCAGTTTCAGCATTATAGTGTAAATATATAGAAGCAACATCGATTCAAGGATATAACGCTCACGTGGCAAAAATGCCAATATCAGTCTGTATACTGATCGGTTTACTCTACATAACAGTTGCAAAGAACCTGCAAACAAGACGACCGGAATAGCTCTGCAAAGGAAGGAGACATACAGATGGTTTTGCACTTTTAGGTTTCGTCCGTGTCTTGAAGATTTTCTGGTGATTCAAGATGACGGTGCAATAGCTGCTGAGCAGATCATCACCTTCTGCTTGGTCATCGTCTTCAGGAACGCTGTCCCTTTGGTTCCTTTTTACTTTTTTAAATCCCAGGCCTAGGATCTGATGAATCTGAATCGCAAATATGCCGCTGCGATAATCCGGGGAGGGTGGAGATGAGATTATTATCTCATCTTTTTTCGTCTGTAGAGAATCAGTGAGTACAAAGAAGAATTGACTCCAATTCAATGGCTTTTACCTTGATGTCTTGCACTTTCTGTTGCTCAATCTTATGAAATTCGGCTTTTCTTGATTCTAGCGGCTTCTGTGGTGCCCCTCCTGTTACCTTCTTCTTGGGATCGTCGACATTTTCAACACCCCGATCATTGGTCTCTGGTGCACGTTGAGTCGGTGTAATTCTCCTTTTAGAAAAATAACCCAAGCTCCAATCCAGGATGCATGGCATATCCTCCTTGGTACTTAGTTTCTGTAACTTGTCTCGTCGATCCCACATCATTCCATTCGTGCGGGGGCTTTGCATGACTTCGTTGAGCCCAATATCTAAAAAGCCGAGATCACCGTGAGCCGTGGACTGGTGGCAGTCCCACATCTGGACCCCTGTCGAGCTATAAGTTAGTCTTCAAATACACAATAGAAAAGTAAGAGAAGTCTCACTAAGTCTTTCCTGTGCATTCAATTCCTTCGGGCCGATGATAATAAATCCAGTCTCTTCCCAAATCGGCTCCATTTCGGACGCAATCACCCTGGTTGCCCACACAGACTTTCCGAATTTGGTCCAGCTGACGGAGACATACGGATCAATAGACCTTTTCTTCATCCCAAAGAAGCCTGTATTACTTCCCTTGAATCCCACGGCCCGCTGGATGCGAACGACAACCACACCGTAAGCGCTTGTGTCTTTCTTAAAGTCTTCGGCCATAATCATATCCTTGAGATCCAGTGTCAAGCTCTTGGGAGCAACATACTCGGCCATCGCGGCATCTACCGAAGTCTGAATGAAGCTGGAAATGATCGGGAGATTCATTATGTTAAGCCCATGCTTGAACACTGGCATGCAAGATAGATTGACCTTCGGTTGCCCCATGAAAGTAAAAGTACTTTGAGCAAGGAAGGGAGGATCAGGTGTGAGTTGCAGTCGGAGACGGAGCATCCCAACGATGCCCTGTATCTCAACCCAGATAGCTATAGAAGAGTTCATCAGCTTGTTACTCATCAAATATGATGAGGCCAAAGTTCCGCTGTGCGAGAAGTAGGGGAATCATGTGGATATATGACTTGAATTCCATATTTCGAAGGGCTCAATATATTGTTGGGTACCAGGGCTGCGTAAAATGATGTCATGCAATAGCTTTCGCCCAGGGGGACAGGCAAGATGTCGCAGGACTCAAAATGGGAGGAATAGGCACGCAAAACTTACGAAGATGTATACCTGTCGCTAGATAAATTGCCAGAAAGAGGTGAGCATTCTTAGCCATCGCGCTCAAGTTTCTTCCAGCAGGCCTCGCCCTGTATGCAAAGGCAACCTCGAGACTGACAAAGTCTCCTTCCTCGGCTTCCACGATTTTCATAAGGTTATGTTCGTGTCCCCTCTGAGGTTCGTCTTTGGTGTACTGGCTGGGCTTATCGTTCCCCTTCTCACTGCCTGAGGCCAAGCCGGCATTCGGATCAGATGGAATCCATCGTACCCCCAAGATGCGAGGTGCTTCGCTTCCTTGACCTAGGTCTTCAACATTTATCATATTTACCAGTTTTGGTAGACTGGCTTGCATAGAATCCTCGAGAGTGTCTGCCAGGCTAGCGAAAAGATCTGGATTCACCAGTGGCCATATTGACGCCAGGAGAGAATTTAGCCACTCTGTCGACTCAGGTGTACGAGTATCTGCTTTTTCCTTTTCGCTCTGCGTCCCACCTTTCAATTCCTGGTCCGTCCAGAACCCATAAACTTTGTTTTCTACCCAATGTCGAAACCCACAGATCCCAAAGACAAACACAACCGCTTCCAAGGTAATTGTCGCCAACACGGCACCGGCCTGTTGTCTTCGGCTTACCTCATTTAGACTTGATAACCCATTGCTCAGATTGAACAGATGGATTGAAGTAGGGACCAGTGCAATGATAAAGAGAACAACACCCATTCCGATGTTGAAAGCGAATCGGAATGTCCTGATCAACTCAGTTTTTGCCTGCTCGTGGCCTGGCGCAAATAATCTCTCCATACCAGCATGCGCACCTTCGCCCTCCAAGGTTGTATTTGACTGAGTCTTGCTCTTCAGTTTTACAAGCTCACTCGGTCGTAGCCGTTGGCTGTCACTCAGGGCTGTATTCTTGAGAGCGTTTTTGAGATCCTGGCTTGTAAAGTCATGTATCATGACCGGAAGATGCGTAATAGGATCGGTCACTTCTCGTTCCCCAGTGTCCTCTTTCCCATGATTTGTGTCATTCTGTTTATCCTTTGAGACTTTTTCACATGATGGAGCTTGTGGCGTGTTCGTTCCATGCCCTCGTCCTGGACAAGCCTTTGTATCGACTTGCTCCGCCTTGCCATCTTTGGATGTGTCAAACATAGCCTGTTTCTGGTGTAATGGTTTTGAGCCATAAGTGAGCCCAGACTCGCCTTGAAATCTGCCTTTGTCTGCTTCATCCTCCTCGTCCATGGTTTTGTTGAGTATAGCAGCTTCCGATTTGTGTCGCTGCTGCTATTGTTCGGTACTGCGGGAAAGCGTTCAATGGAGAGGTTGCAATCGAGGATAGAATTAACAGAGCACCGTAAACCCAGCTAGGCGCGTTATCATCCGTAGGCCAAACGTGTTTGAAACCACCTGGGGGATCGACTAATGGATGCTCATCAGGTTTGGATTTGGGAATTTGAAATAGAAGCAAGTGAAGACGAAAATCAGGCTATTGGATTTTCGCAATATGACGCAGTTCGCTCATCAGCGTATAATTAATTGACATCAAAAGTCCACTCGATGTGCATTTCTATTACCAATGCGCGTCACAAGGGTCGGTTCCTCAGGCGGCAAGTTGACAAACTTCAACCTACCGAATCATCAATCAAGCCTTGTACTTACGTCATCATTTCGTCATAATTAACGAACTTCTTTGACTGATCTCATGCTGTTGATTCGACTACGGCCACTTGTCTCTCCGTTCTTAGCAAAATTCGGTAACTTAGTTGGGTATTGGTATATGGTTGTACCGGCTTCCACTCTTTATTCATCCACTATAGATTAGGTAGCCGCCAAATTCAGGAGCACGACGGAATCTTTTTGTGTCCAGTCCAGTTTAAGTGTACTCCTTCCGGAGTTGACCGTACACTAAATATCACCCGGCAGCAATTGGCGCAATTCAAGTTTTACTATCATCCGCAGATGGCGCGTCGTTACTCACATGCTTCTCATGCAATTCTCTCGTTGGCATACTACGACCGAAGACTAGAAACACCAAGCAAGCTCATCTGTCGCTGCGAAAGACAAAAGATTGTCATAGAACACCAATGTTGAGAATTATAGTGATTTCTCTCAGACATCCAGCAATCTACTTTTGTGAGCAGTTTTGGCGCTCGCTTGTGGTTCACGATAAGTAAAAATAAAACATATGTCAGAAGTGTTCTAATGACGTCAGTGGCCATATGGGTGGTTAAGATGGAGTTGCAAGATTTTGCCTCACCGATTATCTTATTCTTTCTGCCTCATGATATTTCAATTAAATCATTACATTTTCTGCGCGATGAACAAAATGCAGACATACCGTATTCACTATCCTATTCCTCGAGGTTGACATTGGTGCACCTTTCACCAACAAATTTGAGGTGACAATAACGAAAACTACGATAGCTGTGCTAAAAATGACATTACAATGGGACGAACTGCCTTCTTGGCAACGCGATAATCAACATATCCTTTCAGGTTATCGGCCCTCATCCAACACCTTTAGCAAATCATTTGCGAGCCTCACTTACCTCCATAACGAATCCGTCAACATCTATTCTCATCTCATCCCCGCAGTTATCCTCTCGTTCTTGAACATCTCATTCTATAGCAGTATCTCACCCAGATACGAGAGCTTCTCAATCGCAGACTCCCTAGCTTTTGGCTGTTTCTTCTTGGGGGCTGTTCTGTGTCTTGGCATATCGGCAACCTTTCATACAATCCAGAATCATTCTTCGCACATTGCGCGCATTGCAAACCAAGTGGATTATATTGGCATTGTATTTCTGATTGTCGGAAGCTTTATTCCGAGTCTATTCTACGCGTTTTACTGTCACCCCAATTTACAAATAATCTATTTGACCATGGTCTGTCCTCGTTTCTCTTATGTCTTGACTGTTTGAAGGAGAGAGCTTACATAACTTTTCGAAGATATCTTTCCTCGGGCTACTTTGTGCCGCCATTTCAGCATCTGCTCAATTCCGGCGCCCCACATGGCGACCATTTCGTGCCAGAATGTTAATATCTCTCGGACTATTGTTACACCAACCGTACAGTGAGGTATAGGAAATGCGGAGGAGGTGCCTATCCACCACCGGGGCCGCCTGTTGATACATCACCTCGCTTACCTGCTTGCATACGCACAGAGGATCCCCTCAAAAGGAGGAGCTGGATCTTCTTAGGAGGACCAGCGATTAGTCTGAATATCATCATACCCATATCAGGCATATCTCACATTCTTCACTCGTATCCTTATCGTATCAGGACGCCCTCCGGGGATTGTCCTAACAGATCTGATCGAATTAGCCTCCACCATTTTAGCTTCTAGCCGGCTGCCAGTTTCCAGTTTCTCTATTGGAATTAATACATCTGCAACAATGGCGTCACGTAGACTTGACCAATCTACAATTCACTCCCATCGACGAACAGATAATATACGGAAATTGGCAGACGTTGATCAAAGAAGGAGCTAATCACCATGGCATGATAGCTGAATCCCAATGTTTAGTCGTGACGCCATGTGGAGTTACGAGTGAAGAATAGCTTTGTGTGATTCAAAGACATTCTTTCAAGCTCTCAACATGTTACATTCGCTCTTTCGGTGAACTTTTCGGGAAAAAAATCATGCGTTTTAGTTGAGCATCGTTGGATAACATCAGAAATGCCGTAAATAAATGAGGATTCACGGTAGCAGAACAGAACCACGGATCAGCTCAGTCTGGCCATGTTTCTCAATGGTTACATTGGTTTTTCACTTTACCGGCAAGTTCAGGCATAACCAGTGATTCCCAGCAATCGGTTAAGTATTTTGGGTAGGGTTGCCTCTAGAAACTGTCAACTCGTGACAATCATTTCAGGTGCCAAAAGTTTAAAGCTCACCACGCCCACTTTCTGTACGTTGCAAATTCCTGCAGAAGTCTCACAAGTCATATTTTCATTCACCACCGCTCCCTTTTTCCTAAGATGTCTCAACACAGTTCGCTAGGCTGGTCAGAATGGGAGGAGAATAATCTTCTCCCTTGGCTGCATGCACACCGAGCTCTGTCTTGGGACGCTCGTGCTGCCGCTTATAATGAGCAATATGGGACTAGCCGAACAGTCGAATCACTACGGGGGAAAAAATATCACATTCTTCGAAAGCGCCGTCTCAATCGTGCCAAGGTATCTAGGCAGCGCTCAGTTCCAAAACGTCAGAAACGTATTCGACGGCTTGGGGGTGCCAGGAAGAGATTCCCAGCGTTCAAAAATACCAAGGCTCGAAATATCGACCAGTGGCTTCAGAGAATACCTTCAGCAGAATCCACTGCTTCAGAGAACAGTTCCGCCACAGAAAAGTCGCACTCCGGTACGCAGGCATTTCTTCGTCAGTTACTCATGCTAATTTGTTCTGTCATTTAGTTTATATCACACCGGCTCCACATGATCTTCAACCGCAAAAATTTCAGTCCAGGTCCTGGCTTTGGGACTATGTACACCGTGTCTGCGGAACCAATGGGCTACATCTTCACCGGGTGTAACAATTGGGGGGTGGAATTGCGGGTGAATTTCGAAGCGACAGTATTATTGGTACATAAAGATACCTATCAGAGCGCTTTGATGTGCGAGTTACTTTGGACGCAATATTTGATGAATGTTCTTACAGAATCTAATTGGTATGCGAGTTTATGAAGCCTCTGCATAGTTTTCTGCTAGATATTGTTCTTCGAATACACATTACACTATATGAGCTCATTGTTTCTCTTCCATGTCTATCGTAGAGTTTTGATCCGGAGTAGGCGATCTAGTACTTCAAAAGTCATATGAGGCTTTCTAAGAAACTAGGAATGGCCCCTTGGAAGCGTGTCACTACCGAGTGAGATTTTTGCGAAGAGAGACATGATTCCCCGAACAGTTTTCATCCATTTCAGCCAGAGGAAGCATAAGGCAGGGGTTGAAAAAAGGTGACTTCGCCAGAGTTCAAAGAGACACTACCATTCGAAGACTGAAGAATCTCCCCAGGTCCATTTATCAGAATGCCATTTCGACCCACAATTGCAACCGTGTTGAGTTTCCAGTCCTGATCACGTTCCTTATACAGTAGAGGAAGATTTTTTGAAACAAGAATAAAAGAAACCTTTGTCCTTGTGTTTTCTCAGTTAACCTCTGGGCTGGATTAGAGATAGCGTTCTGTTTTTCTGAACACGTTTTGACTTTTTTGAGAGCCTAGACTATTTCCAGAGTTGTTACGTTACATGTACCTTAGAATGAAAACGGAATTCCTTCCCTGATCACAGTCCATTGGGTTTTGTTCCATGGATCCTGAGGCCAAGAAACACACACGATAGATAACTCTGACATATAAAATCTGAAGCTCCTCTCAAATGGCATGCTCTTAGATATATTCAATGTTTCCTATTTCTAAATCTCTGACAACACTCTGCTGTTGCTTCCTAAAACCGTTCTTTGGCTTCCTGGACTGTCTCTCACTGCTAATCTATCATGAGCGACCAAGCCAACCCCGTATCCAGTTACTGGATGAACAAATTGCACGCACATGTCGCCCGCGTGAACGCGAACCACAACGAGGACCGATCGAAGAAGAAAAGAACTGAGGAGATGCCTTCTGGAAAAAAACCACAAGGCCCCTTTCGCGTTCGAGACAACGACATGGAGAGAATTAAGAAGCGTCGACATGACGCAAAGCGCGACCGCAAGGTCCGATTCGAAGGGGTTCCGAAAAATGGATCTGTCGATGGCTCTTTACCCTGTCAGTCTGATGATTTCATTCTTCGGCTAAGCGGTAAGTCACTACGTCTCAGAATATTGTGGTGCTCTGTCTTTAGTGTCCCATATGATATCTAACCAGTGTCTCTACAGTAGCGTGAGCAAAGCAGCAAAGTAAGTACTCGTGGCCAGCCTCAGCTCATTTTCCGTGAAACTTCTTGGATACCATAGTCAAAGAGTCTTTAAGGTAGAAAGACGCTAATGGTTGACTCGAAAGTTCGGATAGCAAATCCGACATGAGTTGTCCGGAAACCCTTGCTGGTGATGTGAAAATTCTAGCTCGACAGATCGGAACCCTGAAAAGGGATATGGAGAAGATGAAGCAAACGCTGGAGAATATGCAGTGAATTATACCCGGGAAATCAGAAGGCCATAATTTTCTGAAGTAATCTTAGTCGATGCATAGAAATTTTTATCGTTGACCAAAGTTTCCGAAACATATGCAACGCTTTTTGAACAAATATTTTGATGGTGTTTCTGGGCTCCCTTGCCGTCAGGATTACCAGCCTCTGGGAGATGCAACAGCCTGGCAGATATCGATGCACATGCGATTTCAATGGCAGTGGAAGACTGAATACGTATACATACTTTGAATTCCAGTACGCCAGCTGTTGAGAAAATAACAGATCAGCGTATTACATATGTAGCGAAGGCGCTGTAGTCTCTTACTTTAGCTTACCCTGGCTTTCAGTCCCTGGGTGCAGTCTCAGAGTTTGTTTTAGAAAGAGTTTTAGGGCCTTCCATAATCATTGATTCTTCGATTTCGAGAGGATTGCGAGGTGTGAACCGGTTGCTGATTGACTATGGAGACCATGAATTCTGGGCGCGACGAAATCATGTTCCGACGACGGAGTCGGCGTCGACACCTCTTCATCGATGGTACCTCGGCCGGCTTGTGGGTGTGGGCACACGAAGTACCCCGGTCGTCCTGTGCTGGCAAGTGAAATAAGTGAAATAAAGATTTGAGCGGCATGAGGCATTGCAGTGACTGCGGCTTGCGGGGGAAATGTGTCAGCTAGGCGGAGGGAATGCATTTTTCTCTCACGGAGGCGAGAACAAAAGTTTTTGCGGGCGAAGAGTTCCGCGGATGGGCAAGCGATCTGCCAAGGCGGTTCTTCCATGAAACGACTCTACATATTAGCTGCGTGAAAACCGTTTCACATCGTTGAGCAATGTTGAGACCAATGATTTGCAAATTGATTGGCTACGGTCCGAGCGAATATTGGCAGACTTCTGCTGCCACGAGAGATTAGGCCGCCACGGCGAGTAGCCCATGGCATGCCACTTCAGTCTAAACCTCATACCAAGTGCGTTGCAGGCCGTTTAAGCTGGGTGAATCAATGTTGATGAGGCAAATGATTTGTCACGCATCGCATCATGCCGACCACGGCTCCAGGTGGATCCAGCCACTCCACCCGCTCTCCACTCCAAACTCTTCGAAATTTCTTATTTCAACGTTGACAAACCGCCTCAACACCCACGAAATTAGGGTCGCCCGGTGCGAATTTGAAGTCAAAATCTCTGGACTCGGCAAAATGTACGCAAGTGGTCGCTGCCGAAACCCCTACTCAGAATAGCATAAAAGACGGTCTTTTCCCGCCGAAAAGAAAAGCAGGACTTTCCTCCTCACACTCCGGGCCTCGCAGCCTTGGGGTGTCTTTTGCAGGTAAGATCTGCGATATCAAGTGTTCTTCGCAGGATAAGCTCTGCGATATCAAGTGTTCTTCGCAGGATAAGATCTGCGTTACCAAGTGTTCTTCGCAGGATAAGATCTGCGTTACCAAGTTCTCCGCAGGAGACCGCTGCGATACCAAGTTCTCCGCAGGAGACCGCTGCGTCACCAAGTTCTCCCTCGCAGCAATGAGCCCTGCGATTGTAAGAGTGCGCTCCCTCACAGCCAATGAGCCCTGTGTTGTATAAATGTGCTCCCTCACAGCCTTGAGCCCTGTGATTGTATAATCTAGAGCTTCCATGCAGCCTTGAGCCCTGCGTTATCAAATATGTGCTTGTTAGGCGACCCGTGGCGTCGCGGTCCTCGTCCTGATCCTCTGGCGATTGCAGGCACCTCTTCGTGGTGTCAGAGACTAGTATTCGGGGGAGTCCTCGAAGAAGCCAAGACCTGCTCCAAAGAATCAATAGAATCGATAGAATCAGGAATCCAACAAGACGTGATGTAAAATGACTTCAGTATTGTATGTAGATGCCACCGCACATGGCTCTGGTTCGAACAATGCGCTTTGTAGCGCTCAACCATGCCATGAGCTTCAAGAATAGACAAACTCCTCCGCATAGTGTGAATTAGAGCATCGACTCATGGCTGATAGTAAGATGGCCAGTCGGGGTGGCAGCTGAAAGTCAATTAGTCTCTATTGGTTTGAGTATTTGTCCCTGCTGGCTGGAGTGGCAGCAGAATTCGTCCGAATGAAAGGAGATGCGGATTTTCGACGGTGGGTGGGTGGTGTGTCGGTGCGTGATGGTGCTGGCGTGTTGATGGTGAGAGCATGTTCACAGTGAGGGCGTGCTGATGGTGATTGACGGTGATGGATGGTGTGTTGATGGTGAGGGCCAAAGGTGAGTGAGGGTTGAGCTGGTGATAACGGGGCCGGACCAGTCCCTCTGTTGGTGTGCAGTGCGGGTGATTCCCGGGCGGTGAAGTGGCGGCCAACGGTAAACACCGGTCCCGTCATAGTGGGGATCTTTGTTCCTCACGAATGCAAAAGCTGATAAACAGCGCGACATGATGATTTCTAGAATTAGATTCGATATAATGATACATACTCCGATCGGTCTGCTGTATGACATTCTCTCGGCTTGAGATTCGTCGCGTGCTCTTTGACGATATTCTGTACCTGAGGTTGTGTCGTTGTATCTCAGCTTGATATCAGATATATATACTTAGACCAACGCTATTATACACATCATCGACGGTAGAGTTGGCAAATAACCATTAGGGTACTGGCTATAGCAAGCTTCATACTTCTAATCATATTTCAGATATCATTTTGTGTCTACTCGATCAAATGAAAGACACTTCTGGAGCTCGAAACGATGATCTTAGTGCCCGGAAGAACGGCGGGAAGGATTCTTTGGAAAGTAGTGGGTATGATGAAGCAAAACCGCTGCCGGCGGCCTTTCTGTGCGCGTGGTCTAGTGGAATTTCTCATCTACTATCAGTAGCGGCGCGGGTTCGATTTCCGCAGGGTATACAGATGAACCTGATTCAGAACCCACCCATGCGGTCCGCCCGAACTCACTGCCCGCTTTGTGTGTTCCGAATCATTTTCCGAGTATTCGCTCTGCTGATTAATTTTATCTCTTGCCCGTCTCAAATGAATGGCGAAGCCACTTTCACGGAGTCGATTGACCTTCTCGCCAAAGTCAGCAACCGACGGTATTGAAATTAATGGCCATCAAGGACGCCGCACCAGACGCATGCTACGGGAATCAAAGGCTGGCGCGTCGCGTAGAACACGCATGCCACACTGAGAGTACCATCAGCGGCCACGTTCGACTACGTCTTTTCCATACACATAACAAACCAAACCGACCTGCATCTTTCAAATAATAAATAACAACTGTGCCATTGTGACCGTCTCGGCAATCGACTGGCCGGTCCGGCGAGGCTACTTCCGCCGGCGGGTACGTGCGATTCGGTGGTGAAAGCGAGGAGGCATTCGGTCGGCGTGCGGCTGCATCGAGCATAACATCTGGGGAAAGTACCTAGTTTCATTACAGTGACTTGACTATCTTTAGCTGCCTTCCCAATTATCCTGGAGATGGAAATTGTTGTAGTTCAGAGGTCTTAATTATATTATTGTTCATAGGGAAACATTAGGCTATATATATACAACGAGAAGAACAAGTTGATTTCCAATCAACTTGGTTCTTCGTATAGATATCTCGGGATTAATTCCGATGTTTCGGCTTGGTTCCTGATCTGCACCAGCCTCATATCACAACAGAAATGTACTTACCAGGATCAATTATGAATAAGCCATGGTAGCAGCTTTAATGACCGTCTGCACCTGGCCACAGCCAAGGCAATTTGCCGTTGGATATACCTAATCTAGCACCGATTATCAGCAACTGGCGCAAGATAGTTGTTCGCAACTTACCTTGTTCGCGGCCTAGATGAGGTCCTCTTAAACCAGCTATAATGCACATTCTCGATCGGACTCGCCAGAACAGCTGAATTAGGGCTGTCTCACAGCCTCTCTATGTTAATATGATTTCTGGTGACCGACGGTGGGATAGACTTACCGTGAGCAGCCTGAAATCAGCATAGAAAACCCAGGAACTAGGTAGCGGGCTCACCCCGACCACACGTGAAGGGCCCGGGATCACATCGTTTCACGGGGAATGGGTGTAGCAATACCTGCCAATACACGACTCGTGGCAGATATTCAACCGTCTCAGGGCAAAATACCACTAGATGACAGATCCTTGGTGTCGACCTGACCGGAAAATGACTGCTCTCGCGGCGAGGGATCTATGATAAATCTAAGCCACAGCCTGTGTTATCGCTTGCTCAGCTGAAATCCTGGGCTTGAAATAACTTTCCTCGAGACTATCGCCAATAGCTTGTTTCAATTTGCTGATTGATGCCTCTCGAGAAATAGTTGTATTTTCTGTGGTCGTCGATTCTCGGCTTCTCTTGGTTGTCGTGGATGCTCCGGTGGCTCGCCGGTCCACAGTGAGGCCGGCTCATGGCTACCGACAAGCCTTCAAATTGGACGTGGGCAAGAGGCTCATGGCCGTCAGAATATGATGAGTTGCTAATACATCGGCTGTCAATTTCTGTTCGGACAGGGTAATGTAGAATAGAGGAAATGAAAACACCCTGGAATTTTACCGTATGGCCAAGCAGACGGCATCAAGGCCTTCTGCCATGGCCCGCTAATATGCCAGGTGAAGTGGCCGTGTAAACCACGTCTTCAGAGACAATAAAGGCGCAAGCGTAGTTAAATTCAGTGGCTTGGCCCACCAGGTTGTTGAAGCTGATTTAGTTTCGAGCACAAGGGGGGGAACATAGCTCGGTCCGGTCGAGTGTAAAATTGAAGCTCGCCCTATGAAAAAAAAGAGATCTTCAGCAATCTCTTCCGAAGAACAGAGAGCCACGAACGGATAGCACTCGTAAGGAGATTAAAATGCAGTACCCGGAGTTGGGAATGGATAGGGGCAAAGCACTAGCGTGACTTACAAGACATTGAGCAGGTCGCGATAGAAATTTCGCCATCCTCTAGAAAGGTCCGTCAGCACATGATATCTGCCTTGAAAATTGCTGCAGTTTTTGAACTTACATTTTCAGTTATTGATGTTCACTGCAGGGAAATGTATAAAGGATGGCACCTGATTATCTTCAACCATTAGCAGGTAGCTTATGAAGGTAACTTGTAACTCACCGTGCTCGCAGCTTGGACAATTGCAGCATGGACAATTCCAGATTCTGATCCTGAAAGGTTCGTTCAATGGCTTTTCAGGGGGAGAGCGGAGGCGGGGCTAATATCAAACATTTTCCAAGTTAGCATGATTCCAAATGACTGGGCAGCTACACTCACTTGCTGTTCGAAGACCTCTTGTGTCGAGAAAAGCCAGGCTAGTGTGATGCAACAAGTCAGTCAACTTCGTTACAATATTTTGAAGCCAACATACCAAATAGTAGCCGCTGAAACGAAAAGGGTTCGATATTCTTTGACCCGGGGTGACAAAGGAATGCTTGCGAAGGACCATTCGGCTGGCGAATGACCGGGTATTTATAGCCATTTAGCCAGGCATTCGGTCTGCATCAATGAGATCATCATTGTGAATTGTGAGGGCTCAAGCTCAAACTACTCTTCAATGAATAACTGGCTCAACATTTCATCACTGGCTCAAAGCAGCTCTCAGAGGCATTGCATTTTGCGCCTGGTGATCCGGAACATGAAAAACATTTTTTGGCTGTTCGCATCGTCTAAACAGTCGTGAGAATGCAACAGAAAAGGATTGACAGTTATCAACATTTACCACCGTCAGTCCGCCCTTTATTGCGATGGGCGAGGCGACGAGGTCATGTCATTTGATTTCACTCACCGGCCATGAGCCCGTGAGTGCACGCAACAGCAACTCACCAAAGGTAGGCAGACCGCAGGGTTCTTCGTTGCCTACCTCGCTTATCGGAGACAATCCATCACACCTACACAATATCAAGTATATGCAAGCCATGGTACGGCGCGGGGCTGATTCGCACAGCCCCATCTCACAACAGAGTTTCTTGTACAGTGAGCCAGTCATTAGTACGATTACATTTTTGAAGAACAAACCTCTGCGGTCAGCCGCGTCTTTGCAAAAGCATTACCCACATAAATCTCCTGGGAACGAAGCGGATGCGGGTGGGTACTACTACTCAGAAATATAAGCCAATGAGTGCCATCAATGGCCCACATGCGAACAAATTTTCAATGCAATGATTGGTTGATAATGAGAATTTGGGTCCCAGAAGATTGTGGGCATTGCAGCCAGTCATTCTGCTTGAGCCGATGCATTGATAATTCTGAATTATGAGGGCACAAACGCAGATGGCCCTCCAATTGTGGCTAGTTTAGCGTCTCATCATTGATTCAACGCGTATTTGAGGCCCTTCTGGTTTTTCTTGACAATCAAGTGTATCAAGGATGATCACTCACTGTTGGGATCATTTCAACACCCCGCGATATTAGAGGAAAAGGCTGAAGGCCCATTTCAACGTTCCCCAATGTATCTCTGTCCGCTGTTGCTACATGAGGTACAGAAATGTGACTTGTCGGTACCGTATTACCTATCTAGATCTCACGAAAGATTTTTGACCTCCCTCATATCCCTGAGCCTCACCAACTCATTTCTCTTTGAAACACCAGGCTCTGATTCTGCAAAACGATTTTTCTCGCAGATTTGACATGTTCTCCAATAATTCAAACGCCGTGCAAATAAACCCGCGTATTACCACATTCTTTCTTGCCACCACTTGGCTAGCTGTTGCTAGCCTCAGCTCCATAATTGCGTATTGTGCAAGTCTTCTTCTTGACCGCGCAACGCATGACCTAGCTAGTGGCAGCGGCTGGATTCTGGACATAGAATTCAAACGCCTCATGAACAAAGTCTGGTGGAGTACTCGCAGTGGTAATTCTTTCAGCTTTGCTTTCAACTTTTGGAACCGCTCTTCTTTTTCAGCCGAGATTGCTGAGCAAAGACAGTCAGGCTCGGGCCTTTTACGGCTGCATCCAACTTTTGTTGAGCTTTCCTCTTCTATGCATCGAAGGTTACCTTGCCAGTCAAGTCCGCGGCTTTCAGTCCTCTTTCAAATTCTTCACAAGCCAGGACCATACTCCATACTACGAGATCATGTATTATGGCGCTACGAGCAAAGCTATCTTCGGCACTCTGGTGGCCATTTTCTATCTGGTTTATGTTTTCGCATGTCATTGACAAAGCCCATGGTATCTAAAGCAAATGGAAGTGTCAATAAAATTCTATATTATAGTCATGAAGCACTGGCAAGAAATGTTCACTGCAGATTCAATCAAGACGGACCATGGCCCCATTGGGCGGGAAGACGCCTTGAAATAAAACACTATTATGTACAAACTCCCCCCGACTGTAATGTGCCGTAAAAATCGCCTATACTGTACTTGATTTGGCATGTTGAAATTACTTCTTGGGATATAGAATAGTGGTACGTGGAAAAAAAGTTCAGTAGATAGTAGGCAGGGTTTTACGCAAAGATGATATCAGTGTTCAGATCCAAATCTTTCACTTCAGTGATAAAAGAAAGTCCCATACGCCAATATTCCAAAATTTCCATCCACGTAATTATAATTAATTTACAGTTTTTTCACTGAGCAAAGTTAAACTTGGCTAAAGCAACGTCTGGATTCTGAACATAGTACAGAACCTCTGACTTCCAGTGAGAAAACATTCCATGCGATATAAAGAGGCGCCAATCAATCACGGAAAGAAACAATCCTTCGTTTCTATTTAGCTCGTTATCACTTAGACCCGAGAAGGATGCCCAGCGTCGCGTCGAGTACACATAATCCTGAGTGAACTTCCAACCCAGCATAAGAGCTGCGAGAAACATCCGCCGCTGACACGGTAGAGGCTGAAGCTCCTGGGGCACTTGAAACGGCTCAGTGGGAAACTTTTGCTTAATCGTGAACCGCAAGAGAGCTAGATAGTAGAACGCCGCGATGAGTGTATAATATGTCGTATGAGATCTCCGAAGGATATTTTTCAGATAAACCCGAAACCCAGTCGACTTTTTGGGGCTGTTCTTCGCTAGAGGAGACCACAGGCTGATAAGAAATCTTTCCGAGAAATCTATCGACACAATCAGATATCCGTCACGAGGATTCCTGCTACTAGATGACTTACTAATGAGGTCTTCATTAGAGACAAGTCGTCCGATTCCTTTGTTCTCGCTCAAAAGTTGAGCCATGAGAATCAAATCCAGGGATAGCGAGAAGGAGAGATGAGCTTTTGCCTGAATTTTGGGGGACAGTGAATGTAGGTCTTCTATCAAGGGCATCTTTTCCGTTAGCATAATGTGGAGTAGATGAGCATGAGTTAGCATACCTACTAGGAGCACTCTTTGCAATTAAGCCAAGGTGAGCTGGTGTATCTTTTCGCATTCAATCACAAAGACGAGTCCAGCTTCATTCCACACCGGCGACAAATTATGTTGGCAGAGGCTAAGAGCCAGGTTTAGGTTGCGTTATTTCTAGAAGAAATCAGTAGCTAATATCGATATTGTCCTTTCAATCGTGTTCACAGGGAGTCAGGAAAGATGACAAGGGCTGGACTTTTTTGGGTTTACTGCCACGATAGCAGCTCTCTTGGTGGCGAGACTTTTAGTTTATCGGAAAAGCCGTGAACTGCGTCATAACCTGCACAGTTGCAGCAATTACCGGGGACTGGGGAGAAATCCGAGTAAATTAACTCTCCAATTTGACCTGTTGCATACTGCACAGTCAAATACTTGCTGTTGCTCACGGCTACACCAGTCTTCCCTTGCTGATGAACCATATTGAGTGTTTTTCCGACATGACTGCATCTTTTCGTGTATATCAACAGCTTTGTCTCAACATTCAAAGATCAACATCTACCTGTAAGAAAGTAAGCCAGATTTTGTCTCAGAGAAATGGTACCTAGCTAAAGGTCGGTGGTGAACGTTGAACGCGTGATCGAAGCTTTTCTGCGGCATTCGCACGACTGCTCAGATGGTGCCAACGGTGGCAAAAGCTTTATCATATATTGTGTCACCAGAAAACCTTGTTATCAACGATGATAATTGATCAATTCGGTGATGATTATCTGACACCCAACATCGTAAAGATAAATCGGTATGTGCAATTGTCCACCAATATACTTTCATATCATGTTGTTGAGATGTTTGTTTTTTCTGCTTCCACTAGCATCAATTCCTGTCTGGCATTCTTCTGTTTGCTATTGTGAAGGTTGCTATTGTGAAGCTGTTGTTTTGTATAAAAAATTATATTCCAGAGGCAGTCTTCTTTACAAACTTGTCCGCACTGCGAGATACAAGTAGATTTGTATGCTCAGTCGCTGTTCTCTTAGTTGGCAGCGCTTCACAAGAACAAGGGCCTTCTGGGAGACTTGGCCTAGAAACAGAGCTCTCTCAGAAGAAAGTCCTCGTGCTCATCTGCTCCCCAAGAAGAAACTCTTAGGAGCCAAAGATTCACATGAAGATCCCGATTGTACCGCGCACCGCCGGGCAAATTGGTTCATCAATATCGTGCACGTCCCACAACGCGAGCAGCCATTGAAATCAGCTTTTCCTCCATCCTTAATCCTTCCGCGGCCACAATGGCTTTCTCTTCATGTGCGGAAATCAAGAATATCGCATTGGTATCATCCGCTGTTGCTGCGTGGTAACAATGGGCTGGACGAAGGCTTTTGAGGCTCACATCGTAGAGTGTAAATCCTTTGCAGGAATACTTTCGTGCGAGCCGCTCCATGGGTGAGGGGTCGGACGGGTCTACGAGGAGACAGTCTGATTGATTCCACTGACTTCGTTCGAGCGACCAGAACTTGATCTCAATCAGCTCTTGTGTAGATGCCTGGCCTTTGGGATCAGTATCTTGTGCTGTAATGTGTTCGGTGTCTCTGTGTATTCCCTCCGCCAGGCGATCACCCGAGGTTGCCAGAGAGTTGTGGGTATTATCTGGCACAATTAGGTCTTCAGGCTCAGTTTGCTTATGATGGAGTAGACTGAGCTCTTCGTTGAGCCGGTCGCTCTCCCTCCTTTCTTCTAGCTCCTCCTGCTCTGATTGGGCCCTTCTGAGACCATGAAGGAAAGCCTCCAGCTCTTCTGACATAGGGGGGACGGCTTTCTTCTGACAGGATTACCGTCTCTGATGAAGACCGTCGCTGTGACGTAGGATTGGTGAATGACTGAGCAGCGCTTTCGGGCACAGACGCAGTGTGTGGGTTGAGCTCCTCTTCTGTCGCTCTTTCGTCCTGACCCCATTGAAGCGAGACTGTCTCCAACGAGATCTGAGTACATTCGCTTCCAGCATCTTCAAGGGCTAGCTCAGCTCTGGGTGAGCAGCGAGAAAGATCCGTTCCCAGCACCGATTCGTCATGTGTCCGTCTGAGAGTGGTGTGATCTCCACCTGAAGGACTTATCCGATCTAAGTCCATCGGCTCAGGTGCAACTTCTGAGCCTTCCGTCTCACAGGAAACCAGTTGGTGTGTAGGGAAATTGCTTTTTCGAAGAAGGGATGACCTGCCTGATGTATCCATGTGGTGTGCAGATCCATCCATTGGGTCGTGGCATTCGATAAACAATGGCGACTGTAGCATCCCCTCCGCCTCTGTGTCTGCATTCATACCACCATTCTCTGTGGTGGAGCTTGGCCCCACCCTTGATGACTTCCCCAAAAAGGCGAAAAAGACACAACGCCGAACAAAAAAGCTAGTGATTGTATCGGCGGCATCGACATCAGCATGCAGTCGATCTAAGAATAACAAAGGGGCATCTTGAACATGGGTGCGGGTTTGCGGAACCCCAGAGCGAGCGTGCGTCTTGACGGTGCTGTCTGCCAAAAGATCTCGCGGGGGACCGGGCCGATCGGGCACAGCTTCAGTAAAACACTCTACAATCCGGCGCACCAGAATATCAAAGTGCTGGTCATCGTATCTATACCGGCCTGGCTTCCGGGCCTGGAGAAGGGCCGATCGTGCAATTTGGTGATCCGGAGAACTGTTCAGCAGCCCATCAATTTCTGGGGACCTAAAGCCGAGCCGGTGAGCTAGATGGGCCATGTCGTAGATCGCGCGCGGGTCCGGCTTAGCGCGAGTGGGGTTGGCCAACAGATCATCAGAGTTCTTGGGGTCCGGGGGCATCAGTGGATAATGCCGCATAGCATACAGCCATAACTGTTGGTATCCTGTCTCGAGGCATTCCGTCTCGGGCGCATGAAGGCGTCGGAAGGTAGACTTTGAGGTCTGAATGATACACTTCCCTTTCTCTCGGTGATCTTTCTCAGGCTCCGAGTCTGGATCAAAGATCGAGCTCATGCCTTCCCTCACAGATCGGGGTGATGGACCCAAAAGCCGCTTCAGGCATTGAGCGCAACTCTCTAGATACTTGAAATCCTCAAAGAAAGTGTATAAGGACGGGATGAGACCATCAAAATCTTTCATTTTGGCGCATATAGCATTTCGCTCATCAGCACTGAATTCGGCAAACACAAGTCCACTGAGAACCAGCCCGCATGCCTCCCTTTCATCAGCGTGTGATTTACCTGGTGCCAGTAACTGCAGGGTGTGAACCGTGTCTTGATCGATTTTCTTCATCAGACGCCGATCCGATCCCACCAGAGAAGACCAGAAGTCCAAGATGTGATCGAAATAGGTTCCTATCTCCTGAGAGACGAAGAGTCGTCATTAGCTAGAAAATTGCAGCAACTTGGGCTGAAGCTCACCTCAATGCAGCCCGAAGCGATCAATCGATGAAGGAGGCTGATTCTCATCCCACCCGGCCAAAGCCCGGGAATCGCCAACAATCGGTCAAATGCATGCCGGAGGCGACGGTTCTTTTTATTGTCAAGTTGATCCAAGCGCTCTTGATTGCTGGGCGATAGTCTCACGAACCAACGCTCTCGAAAAGCTTCATTGCCCTCGCCCTCATACTGTCTGATCTTGCGATAGACTTCCCCATCAGTCGGTTTCTTCTGATTGGAATATTCATCCACCAACGCCGCTCTCAATTCTCGGTCGATGTCTTTTGGAACAGTCAGGATCAATCTATGGGAGCGCCCGGGTATATCACGTACCGTCTGTGTAGAGATCAACCGTCCACCAGCGATCCGCCGGAGGAAGTACCTCAACACCCGCTTGTACACGATGACGGCCATGGAGACCCCGAAGTTGCCCCGCTCTAAATTCCAGTCGAAGAATTTGCCGGCCTTCGGTTGTCAGCAAGGCTTCCTGGGGAACATTCGCCTTCTGCAATGCTTCTGCGAGATTATGTCGAGACACGGTTGCTGGAACATGGTTTTGGACATCTAGGCGGCGACAACGATTCTTTCGGAAGATGTTTCGTAGCCGGTCCAAATTCTTAGGGTCCAGGTCCCGTGGTAAGGGAGGTTCGAATTGAATCTGGCAGATGCTGATTTTAGCTGCACCAATGTATTTCATTCGTCGTTCTGCTGCGAGCCGCACTTCTTGTTCGGTAAAGACGTGTCGAGTCATGGTGTCAGGAGAAATATGGGGCTCAGGATTGGCTTGGTTTTATCGGGCGTGAATGCCTTTATAAGTACATCTGGACGCCCTCGTTGTGGTGGCTCAACGTTGGCACTGCGTTTTTTGCCGGTGAAGATCTGATCCAATACCCTAGTGTTCCACCCGTACGAAATACCCATTTAAATCGGGCAAAATTTCCTTTCTGTTTCGTGCTCCTTTTCGGCTTTCAACTATTAGCCAAATTCTATCCTGCTTCCATGATGCGAAAACTCGGCGAAAAGAGAGTGACAAGAATCCAGGCCGCTCAGGTTGCATTACTCCCCCAGCCGCAAACCCAAATAGAAGTATCACCGGTAACGGACCTCATACCCGGCCCACAACCTCTCCATCTAGGACCCGCGCCTGGAAAGAGGTCCATCACTTCCTCAACTTCGGAGCACACCGGCAAGAAAAATCGATCGATGCCACAAAGCCCGCCTCGCCAGGAGACTATGCAGTGGCGGAGCATTATCGGTTCGGGCCTGACAGTCCGAGACGAATCTCCTTGGGGTACTTTCAGAAAGTACTACGATTGTGACCTAGCTGGCCCCGTCGCGGTATGCGTTCGATCATCTGGAGACCGCGGTGTCTGGGCGGTGCGCCAGTATCCGATTGAGGACGCTGACAAGATACTGCGGATCCTCCGCTCCATGCGCCATGAGAACCTGGCCTCCATTCGGGAGTGTTTTCGCACTCCCGAGCTTCTATACACACTGGGGGGATTTTGACCCTCTCGTTCTGGATCATATCGTCGCTTATAAAGCCTTCCCAGACGAGCAGGAGCTGGCAGCCATAATGTCTCAGGTTTGTTCCTCATTTCCTCTCACCTACCTGCCAGGCGGCCAAATGGCTGATTATGTACAGCTCGTTGACGGGCTGTTATATCTTGTGGCGAACAACTTCCATCACACATCTCTGGACTGTTCTAGCGTCATTGTGAATCTCAATGGGCAGGTCAAAATCGGTAAGTTTATTCCACTTCTACCTTCCCACTCAATCTCACCTAATCAGGCACGGTAGCACGGATCGATTGCTGTGTGTTCCGGCAAAGAGGTAGAGTCGATGCCAGTGATCTGGCACCAGTCTCGAGAATTATGATGGAATTGATGCAAAAATATGTCAAAGAAGATGGGGCTGTAGGCATTGATAATCTCGACCGCTGGAGAAATTGCCCGGCTGCGATCGAATTTCTCTGCGCGACAACATCGGCAAGCTCTTTTGAGGAATTGAAAGAGGTTTGTTTCCTTCAGGTTTTTCCACAACGGTGCTTTCAAACGGTACTAATAATATCTAGCAACGACTGTTGACGGAAATTCCATGCTGCCCAGGGAATCTCATCGGACTTGCGTGGTTCGCGTTGATCTCCGCTCGCACATTCTACTCATATGCGCGAGGGCCCATGAAGAATGATTAAAGCAGAAGTCAAATTTCCATACTGGCACCCCCTGCTCTGTCAACCACAGCAGCGGTAGTTTGGCCAATAAAAAAATTTCATGCACGGTACGGTAACCGACAATCTTCCTGTTCCTCATTGTCCAAGCTTTTGTTCTATCTGCTATTAAATAATACTTATTTTGATTTTGATAGAAAGGATTTGAATTAATTGCATCATCAATCAAGGTCTAGCCGCTGTTTCTCAGTGTAATGCCTGGCCCCGGTAATTTCATAATTGACCAAGTAGCTCATTCAAATCGGCTGATCAGGTAGATTCGGAGATCCAATCCGCAACTTTTTCCGTCGTAAATCGCATTTCAATTGCCCAAATATCACTTTTTTACTACTCTTTCGAGTGCATGGAAGACAACTCCAACTAGCATCATATTCTCGGGACTACTCATTGCGTTTGTTCCATGCGAACTCCCTATCATTTCATTACTCCGGCTGGTATTCCAGCTCCGAAAGCCTCACGCCACGATGCAAAAAGCCCTTGACGGTCTTTCGGATCTGGTCTCTGAGACTACCTGCCGCTGAAACTAGAAAGAAATTAGTATACGATAGAATAGAGCCAGGCTACGGTAGGGTCACTTACCCATCACCAAGGTCCGGCCTTGCTCATCGCGGATATTCGCTAACCTCTCGATCTGGTCTCCCGATGCCTCGAGCGAGACTATGTTGTCATAATCGGGTGCACCTTGGTAAAAGCAGGCTCTTTCATGTTTTCCTATTGGCGTCTTATCATGAGCAAGCCCTTTTTCGACGTAGATTGAAATGGTGAGAATCTGTAGATGTATTACCGTCAATAATAAACAAAGTTTCTATTTTGAAGCCGGTGACTTACATAGCCTTTATCTATAATATCGTCCTCCAGGAGGGGGTTCAGCAGGTCCTCGGCTGCGCTGACCATTTCTAATTTGTTAGTGCTGTTGCTGGCTGACTGGAAGCGGAAGGGTCTTCTCACCAATTGATTCTATCTGCCATACCAAATGCAGCCGACGGACATGAAGTGTGCAGGTATTATATCCATGTATCATCTTCTTCAGATAAGGGATTGTTGCGGCGATTCCGAAACCACTCGCAATCAGTAGCACGGTTTCGAACCCGTCAACAATCTCACTAGTACCGTGTGGGCCTGTGAACATGGCCAGAAATGGTACAGGACACCCAGGAGCACCAGCGGCAAGACTCAGTAAGTCTGATGTCATGCCACCGCGTGGCTGCACAAATAGCTCAATCGTGTCATGTCTTCCGTGCGACCACGATGTGACTATGAAAGGGTGCGTTTGAAGCCACGACCAAGATCCGGCTGACGGTATCCACAGGTTGATATACTTGGCCGCATCGATCTTGATAGATCTGGGCAGAACCAGACGAATCTGGGCCGCTTTTCTTAGCTTAGGATGTGTCAGAGATCCTTCTGGAGTGAAGGATACAAAGGCCCGAGGAGCACCGTGGCCCGAAAATAGCCCGTTCGTGTAACATAAGTTGACAATCTCCAGGAATGTAGTCAGGGCCAGCATTACCAGCGACACGTAAAGGTAAAATCTTGGCAAAAGTCTCTGATCTGGGAGATGTCGCCACGTGCCATATAAGAAGAGAGCAGTCAGGGCTTGGTGGCTTCGGAGGAAGACTTCATAGCACCGTCGACGAAGCCAGGGGAGGGAGATGAGGGCAAGGGTGGCCAAGGAAACTGACCCCTATCATCGTTAGTCCTGAATTCATGACAGCGAGAAGGAAACTTACAATCAGGGTGAATATGTTACGTATTGCCCAAAGAGGAAAACTGAATTCCCGGCTCTGGCATTCTGCAATCACGTGAAAAGCCAGCAGAGCAACGGACATCCAACCTGATGCCTGGTGAATCTTGCAGCAAGTACGCCAGGTAATACCCAGAAGGTCAGCCAGGTAACCGAGGTGAGTGGCTGAGAGGGGAAAGATCAGGTTGATGAGAGCCAGCTCTCCGGCTCGGCGGCCGGCTTGGGGGATGGAGTCTGTATGGAATAAAATCACAGTTATATTGACCACAATGTAGGCAAAATAGATGAGAACATTCAACCGGGACCAAGGGCCCCAAATCCGATGCCTGTGGATGAGAGCCGGAAGTGTGAGATACCGAGAGATCATAACAGAACAGGCCTCGATCCAGCCAATCATAGCGGTTCGGGTCTGGATTAGAAAGAGAGCTAAAAAGCAGCCTCCAACGGCGATCGCATAAACCGATGACACATACATCCTTAGCGGGATCTCCAATTACAATGGACCTTGGATGACGGCATATGAGGGGAGAGCGGACCTCTTTTATATGAAAGCCATTAACCACGGCATCGTCATGTCCCTATTGGCGATACCTTGCTGCGAAGGCAGAAGCATCAGGAACAAGAAGCAGAACACTTCAGAGAGCCTCCACTAAAGTGTTTTCGGTATCAAAATTTCCAGCTATTGCAGACATCGAAATGAATGAGCTGCCGTTGAGTGCACTGGGAAGAGAGTGTGTCAGATAATGAAGGCTATTTAAGACTCACAAATGCATTCCTTCTCGCTCTGAATCAACAAATCAGGATCTTCAAGAGACGATAATGGAGTGGAACTGCCATAAAAATGAGGTTGTTCTTTCCTTCCGTCCGATGTATTGTGAGACTCTTAGTCATTCTCGGCGATTCTGAGCGCGCAACTTTATCTCACATAATGACAGGTCCATTCCTAGCTAGCACCGATTGTGCTGCACGGAAGTATTTGCTTAAACATGGAGATCCATAACATGCAGCCTGAATATAGCGATAAATTAAGAGGGTGAGTGCAGTTAATCAACGGATGTACGAAGCGACTCCGCATTGTGTGTGCTCAAGAGGAGGTTGGGGTTCGGCTTAGCATTTTTAAAAGTGCGAGTTGGGTGGCGAGATCCACACCCTTTACTTCATAATCATATTTGATGCATCTTACTGGCTACATTAACATTTGGGAATGTGTTGCATGACTCCATACTGAAAAGTTGCAATCTGCATCTACATTTCTAGTCTCGGCGTATACAAGAGTGTGGATTTCGCGTCTAACTTCATAGGAGGACCACTCATAGCTCAGTATTTACGGGAGGCAGTAATATGATAGCGCACAAACAGAAAGAAACATTTCCCTTGCTATTTTACATCATTCCTCTTGAAAAAACTCTTTGCGATTCTTTTGCCATAGGGACGGGCTCGGGGCTCGAGGAAGCGCGACTGAAATCCTGGGAGTAGAATTGAAAGTATGCAGAACTATGGTATCCTGTGTCTCCTCAGCCAAGGTATAAGTATCCAACGTGCAGTCGAATCTGTGACCATCATAACCCATCAGACTCCCGGCTGGCGTACACCCGCAAAGGAAACCTGCGAAATGACCCCCGACAGATACGTGTCATCCACGGCCCTCGCCTCTGATTTCCGCTCCAGGCGCTATCGTGAGTCTGTCATGTACAATCAAAATTTTTTTATTAATTCTGAATAGCTTTTCTTGAATATCCAAGATGACACCAAGCAAGAACATGTTTCTATCATTTATTTTACCAAATCGTGGAGCAGGTATCGCTACTTGAAAATCATCAACAAAATCTCATGTCTGAACTCGAACGTCTGCGCAATTATTCATGGACCCTGTACCATGAATATAATAAGGCAATGGGAGAGCTAGAGCAGGCCAAAATGCACCAGTGATCTGAATGTGGATAACAAAGAACTATTCATTGCGCCGTAAACAACGCTCTATTTGACGGCCATGAGACACTGGCAAGACGAATCCCAGTTCTTCTCTCAAATTTCAACTTCTTCCATAATCGATATAAACTTTCATAGACTGCAAGCACTGCCGCAGCGCTCGCCTATTGTCCTGCGGAGCTGGGCGAATAGCTCACAAAACGTGGCAAGTTCTATCCGCCGATATCGTTCTTCGAGTTCATTCCAGAGGTCGCGGGATGTCTCCAGCCCCGCGACATGGATGCTGATATGGGGGGACAGGTACCGGAAGATGGTGTGGTAGGCTTCGGCTTCGCGGCGCGACCATTCACGGTGGCGCTCGAATGCCTGGACCTCCACTTCGAGGCGCGCTTCGATGGCGCGTTGCCTCACCGCCCCAACCAGGTTCCACCAAGGGGTGGATGTTCTAGAAGGCCATGACGCGACGCTATCCTCCAATAAGTAGGACGGCGGATTAACGTCACCGAATTAGGAAATTAGCTAGCCAATCAGCTCACGATTCTTTGTTACTACCCTTCCCAAAGAAGTTACCTATCAACCAATCATAGGTCTGATTATCTTACTTGCCAAAAACATTCACAAGAATGGACTAAAGCTTGACTTTCAAGATTGATTTAATGGGCAGTACATATGTTCCTATTCAGTGGTACGATACATTTTCATATCTCACAGTTTCTATGCTGATATATGTTTTTTTTCTATCGATCGCTCTTCAAATGTTTCCCTCTCACACCTACTAGACAACTGATCTCTCCAAGATGGAACACCGGCAGCAAAATACACCAGAAGGAAATATCATGGACCAGTATCTTGACCGTCAAAATCAAGTGACTGGGAATTGCGATATCATGAGGTCTAAAGGAAACTCAGAGCCCACAACGTTCATATATCCATCAGGACTGAAATTGGTTCTTATCTTTGTGGCTCTGTGCTTAACGGTTTTCTTGGTCGCCTTGGTTCGTACAACAAAAGTTCCTACATCCCTCTAGAAGGAATTTTGACTCCGAAATGCCGTCTAATAACAAAAACTTATAACCAGGACCAAACCATTATAGCTACCGCCATCCCGACGATCACCTCTCAATTCCATAGCGTGGAAGATATTGGATGGTATGGTAGTGCTTTTCTCCTCACCACATGCAGCTTCCAACTGTTTTTTGGCAAGCTCTACACTCTGTTACCCATCAAATGGACATTTGTTGTCGCTGTTTTAATATTCGAAATCGGCTCGGCGATTTGCGGTGCCAGCCCCAATTCCCTCGCCCTCATCATTGGACGAGCTGTGGCCGGCATTGGAGGCGCAGGCATCTTTTCCGGCGCATTGATTATTATCGCCAAATCAGTACCCCTCTCAAAGCGACCAGTCTTCACGGGCGTAATTGGAGCGGTGTGGGGTATAGCCAGTGTTGCCGGTCCTTTATTAGGAGGCGCTTTTACAAGTGAGTTCTTGTTTGCTCAGAAATGCTATATTAACAAGGTGTTTATCTAATTACTCTAGCTCACGTTTCTTGGCGCTGGTGCTTCTATAGTAGGAAGTCCTTTATCTCTTCGCTGGTCTCAAGTTAACTTGACCCCACAGTTAATCTCCCTGTCGGCGCCGCGACCATCCCGCTCATTATCTTTTTCCTTCCCTCGCAGGGGCCACGAATGAAACCCCAACAAAACATCTGGGATATTTTCGGCCAATTTGATCCCGTTGGGACGGTTCTCTTCGTGGCAAGCATCATTTGTCTTCTGATGGCAATTCAATGGGGGGGGAAGCCAGTACCCTTGGAGTGACGGCCGCATTATTGCTTTGTTGACTGCATTCGGTGTACTTCTTGTTGCTTGGGTCATAGTTCAATGGCGTGGCGGCGATAATGCCACAGTGCCGCTTCGGGTTTTGCGACAACGCTCTGTTGCATTTTCGACATTTTACATCTTCTTTGGAAGCGCATCATTCGTTCTGTTGATATACTACTTGCCAATTTGGTAAGCTGCAATTTCCCATTCCTATCCTTTGTGTTAACTTGCTTGTTAAAATCGATAATAAAACAGGTTTCAAGCAATCAAATATGACGCCGCAGATCAGTCGGGCATCCATAGCCTACCAACTGTGTTGAGCGTCGGTACGTATAACGATTTTAATCCACTGGAACACGGAGCAACTGACAAATATTATAAGTGGTATTTGCCATTATGGGTGGACTAAGCGTCACTGTTGTTGGATACTACACCCCATTTATGATAGCAGGGTCGATGGTCATGGCGATTGGCGCAGGCCTATTTCTCCTATTTAGAACAAATACCTCCCTTGCGATGTGGTGCGTAATGTTTGAACGGTACCAGCTACTTAATTGCTGCTAACAAGTCCTAGGCTGGGATTTCAAGTCGTCTTCGGTGCAGGAGCTGGGATCGGACTTGAGCTCCCAAACATCGCTGTCCAGACTGTTCTCCCCGAGAAGGACGTCTCCATCGGTACATGCTTGGTGGTATTCGCTCGCTCCCTTGGGGGTGCTATTTTTGTCTCAGTAGGACAAAATGTTTTCAGTAACTGTATCGTCTCTGGTATCCTTGCCCGTGTTCCCGAGCTGGATCCCTACATTATCCTGCAGACCGGGGCGACTGAGTTACGGCATGAAGTGAAACAATCCAGTTTGGGGGACGACAAAGTGCTAGCTGTGGTCCTGGAAATCTACAACGATGCCATTGTCCAAGCATTTGTACTCGCCTTGGCCTTGGCCTGTATATCAATTGTGGGTGCAATTGGCGTCGAATGGCGAACAGTGAAAAAGCTCCCCACAGAGAGACAGATTTGAGAAGTGATCGAGCGTGGAGATGTGGATGCACGAAAGAGAGAGAGGAGGTACCCAGACACACAAAAGGCATGGCATCCTGGATGCCTGAGGCATCACGCTTCAACAAGAAAAACATTGGCAGTGAGTGAATTTGGAGGACAATAATCTGTTGAATTCCTGCAGGGGCGAGCGCACCCTGGCCAGTGCAAAGGTTTTACCGGTCGCGTTGTCGGCTTAAATAGAAAATCAATACAGTACAGTTTGTTTTAATGAATAACCTCTCCTTTCTCATGGAAGGCTTCTGCCCATATTTCTAGTTGCCGCCAAATAAAATCAGAGAAGAAGTTCAATTGAACATATCAACATTGAAGAATTCCCAAAACCATGAATCTGAAGCGATCTCGCGGCTCGACATATCACCCGTATTTTCAGGAATCCCAGATTGCGACAACATGTTATTAGATTGAGATTTGAGTGCGCCCAAGGGGCTGGCGTAGCCTGCAGTTGCGTAAACTTGCGTATCCGATCCAATCGCTAGGCCCCGTTGAAGCTGCGCCTGGTTGGAAATTCCGGGCACTGGGGAGGCACGGATTTTAGCGTGACTCCCTTTGCCTACCGACCTTTCGTTGTTTTCGAATATCGACTTGGGTGTATCACTGCGAAGCCAGTTCTTTAATTGTGACATGATTAAAAACGCCCGACTTAAAGAACTGCAACTATCCTCCGCGGTGAGCCCTTTCGAAATGAGTAAAAGCCGCTCAATGTACTCTTCTAAGCGCAACTGACCGACTGAGATGTCTTCACTCAATTTGCATACACGCGCCGAAACTCCTTTGTGTAGTTTCATTAGGAGTATTACTGCGTATATTACGCGGCCAGCGTAAATATGCGGTGGCAAAGCAAGCATATCGGTTATAGATAAGCCGGTAAAGACGTCTAACAGCCCTTGCGCAGCCCGAATGATAGTCCAAATATTTGAGAAATGAGCCGTATTTGGAGTCTGCATCTCAATAAAAGAATATGACTTGAGGGATCTCGCGGAGAAGGGCGCTTTAAATTCATCAATGTTGTGATTGGCGTGCAAAGCTACCTCGTGGGTATATAGTACACTGCCTAGCCTGCCAAATTCGATAAGAGCTGGTATAATCAGTTAAGAATACTCCACGTTTTCGCAACCCAGAGTGTTTGATACACATACATTTTTCAAGTGGAGTATGTCCACCAAAGCTGAGCCCGTCCGTCCGGGCCTGTAGACCCTGTATGGTGCTCAGTGTTTTTGGCTCCTGTAGAACATGCTTGCTAGGGTCGCTTAAATACAATTCTTTATCCGCGACATGACAAACATGCTCTATTGTTAGAAGTTTGCAAAAAAGATCATCGGTAGGAGAGAGCATGGATTCCTTCAAATTATTGAGGTATTCGTCGAGCTGAGGAGTCCAGGCAATGGGATTGGGACGCCGCATTATCAAGGAAAGACTTGAAGGTTTGTCAGTTGCGGAGTCTCTAACAAAAATAGCCAGTCAAGGTGTATCCATATACCTCGTACATAAGAGAAAGCAGCCCAGCCAAGTTCGATGTGCCTCTGCTTGATTCCATTTTTCGTCAATCCTGTGTGGAGCCCGTGGTTCTGCAACTCGGTCCAAGCCAAGGTCTATGGCCATAGACAAGGTAACAGAAGCAAGTTGATTTTGATTTGTTCGTGTATAGTTCTCTGGTGCCCTATACCAAAATGACACAACAAGAAGAGCCTGAATAAGCTCTAATGACTTCTCTCCTTCAAAGATGGCAACTTCTACCAGGAGGTTTCTGGCTTTGAGTGCAAATTGTCTGTGTTGATCAGGGGTGCATAACCCAGCAGGTGCGACACTCAATATGGCCATGAACAGCCACGGCTTGGTCTTTCGCACATTTCCTGCGGTCGTTCCAGGTGGGAATACAACAACAGGGCATATCGGGACTAACTTAGCGATATACTGGTGGAATATCTGTTCTGCTAGACTTATACCGAAGAAATGATCGATCATATATTCTAGCTTATGCCCCCAAGAAGGGCCCAGCTGGGAATGAACTGTCTCAATTAACGAACCATTGTTTGACAATCAAGATTAATCATCTTGCAGAAAAAGGAGGAGTGGAGCACGAATGATTGACAGATAGACTCACAGATACCACTTTCTTCAAGATCCGTCGGTGAGGCCACATGAGCTTGCCTCTCCGGGATGGATCCGGTTTCAAGTAATCCAGATCTTCCCTCTTCAGCAGGTGAAGGTACGCTCATATATGGAGGCTGTGCCGGCTGTAATTGCCTCCCGGCTGAGACGGCTTGTGGTGCTTTGCAAATTGAAATCTCCTTCTTTTGCTCCAAAATCCGACGTCTTTTATCTTCAACCGCGACTAGTGGCTCTGACAAATGACTTTCCAAGGATGCACATTCGGAACTCAAATAGGTCGCCTCGTTTCGAACTCCAGGGTCTCGCCTTCTGTCAAACATTAACATTATGATAGCACAACAGAGAATGGTACGACCACCTTTTTCGGCGGTGAACTACTTGGTCTCTGGTGGAAGCCAAAAAATCATAGTCGTGATCAAATTGGGGAGGTTCATGCTGTACATAATAATTGTCTTGCGTTGATAATGGCCGTGGGGGAGCAGCGGCTAAAGGAACCGGGGCGGTACGTTGACCGCCTTTGCTCAGTTTGAATTTAGAGAAAGCCATTGTGGGCCCATGGAGTCATTAAATATTGCGCTGCTGATTCTGTCCCCTCAAGTATGATCCAAACCGGGGTATTGGTAGGGTTCGGGTGGACGAGTGGACGAGTGCCAACAATAACGTGACTGCCGTAGCCGGTCGGAATATGAATGTTCCGTCTATCATTTCTGCTTTCTGAACCAGCTGTGGGCCTCACGTTGCATGCACGAATGAGATAGCAAGGAGTCTGAATTGGAAATGTCCCCCTGACCATGCAGTTTTATAGATCAGGATGGACTGACTAAGCTAGCGAATATTAACTAACGTAATCCACGGCCGAGCTGCGCACACGGTCGAGCTGCGCACCCCAAAACACATAGTAAATGCAATAAAATACCACTTCATATCTCAACAACCATTTCTATTTATGATATGATATTGAAGTAATATAATCTAGATAGTATTTCTAACCTACTGGCGAGGTATGAGGACATTATTAGAATTAGTAATAGAGTTATATATATTTCTATTACTTATTTCAAAATTACGTCGTATTTGATGGTAAAGCACCATAATAGCCTTCTGAATTGCTTAAGGCCAAGATATGTTATTTCATGTGCTAGGAAGATCCTATATTCGTATACTCAAATAAAAATTAACCATGGTTGTTGAGATATGAAGTAGTAATATATTGCATTTACTATGTGTTTTGGGGTGCGCAGCTCGACCGTGTGCGCAGCTCGGCCGTGGATTAGTTAACTAGTGTAATGGGGGATTCCGCTCTCAACATCGGAGTCAGGTGATTGGGGCCTTAGCAACAAGGCAGCCATTCAGTTTCGGAAGTAGTCCTACTGAGCACGGGTGCTGACTAACAGTCCTACTGAGCCCTAGGGGGGGGTCCCACTGACATGTCTTCTGAGGATAAGTAGCGTTCGTTCCATAGTATCAATAACAACCATGCGATGTTCCCCCTTATGAAATGTTCTACTGAGGCTGCTGAGGTTGCGGTATCGATATACTGCTCATGAAAGGTTCTGTTATTCGTTCTATCGTTCCTCGATAGCGTCACGCCTTGTCTACTGTCCTCCTGCACTCTGCGAGTGTGGTGGTTTTGTCCTCTTGCAATCGACCCGTCTGCCAACGCAGACTGCCAGCGAGCATTCCCATCTTACACTAGTTAAATAACTAGTTAGTTAGTTACATAAATACCTCAGTTTCCTCAGACGTTCCCCAAAAAAGGCGGTTGGCAATCCACCGCCTGCTGTTTTCAGCGAGCTGACACAGCTTTTTGTGGGAGCGTCTGAGCCGGGAATTTGGTAGCTACATACAGTGGCCCGTACTGCTTATTCAAGTAGGAGTTGCTCGTGCAGACAGCCATAACCTCAATAACCCTGGCCACTGCATCTATTGGATTCTCACATAGAAGGGTGTTCTAGGTACGATTCATAAATTATTTATTCTACGCTATAAAAGCTATAAATATGTAACTATTCAGACTTCCAACGTTCAGCATTGTTGTAGTTCAGAGGTATTAATTGTCTTATTGCTCAGAGGGAAACATTAGGCTATATATACAACGAGAAGAACAAGTTGATTTCCAATCAACTTGGTTCTTCGTATGGATATCTCGGGATTAATTCCGATGGTTCGGCTTGGTTCCTGATCTGCACCAGCCTCATATCACAACAAGCATCTTTCAGCCTTAACAAGGTCCCAAGCGTCTTTCCTTTCATGGAGAAGCGGCGAATCCCAAGCACATCTCTCCCACTATTGAATAATCTCTCGATATCTACCTCTGCCGCTGGTATAGCAAGGTGATCTTGTGCTACCTGTGCCATACAGGTAAATTCATGCCTGTTGATCTTCCACCAGTTTTGTATAAATTCAGGCTGACTCTGACTTAGATCAAAACCAGTGCTGGTTGCTGGGGTATCGAAATATTGATCGGTATCAGACTCAGCGACGTTATACTGTGTGGGCTGAAAGGCTTCCAGAAATCGATATTCGAAGCTCTTGTAACTGACGTTTAGAGCAGTCGATATAGACTGTTTCGAGATGGGATATGCTTTTTTAGGAACGTTCTGGTTCGGTCGATAATTCCCTCTCCGTCTGGTAGCGTTTTGAGCCACTTGGTCTTGATTCGAGGGTCCAGAACGCTCGCTATATAATATATGTCGTTGCCTTTGACGCAGTCATGGTAGTACTCCAGAAGTGTAAGTCTATCACAGATCGGGATAGTTAGAGCTGACGAAAGATTCTGCCAATCGCCTCGCCGTTCCGTGATAGCTAAGAGTATAGAACGGAGCTCTTCAAACATCCGCGCCGCCATATGAATTGAAGGGCTATCCCGAGAGACGTACTCAGTATATTCGTTGAAGGGAGCCAGGATTTTCTTGACATCTGAGAGCTTTTTCCAATCATCAGGGGTGAGACGTAAGGCATGAATATCTGGATCATCGTTGACTGTATCTTTGGGCTGGCGGCGACACTCTTCGGCTCTCTCAATCATAACAAAAGTAGAGTTCCACCAAGTATCGACATCGTAGTTGATGGCCTTTGCACAGCCAGGTCGATTATCCCACTTCTGTATTCGCTGCGGGGATCGAGCAATCCAAAGGACAAGTAGCCGGAGCTTTGCAATCGGGGAAGTAGGAACGTTCATTGTCTTCCAGCTCCTCTTAGCAACATCATCAAGGAATTCACAAGCTTCCCTATGTGAACTTGCATGTAAAGACCTCAATATTTTTTTTTCATAGCCAGATTGAGGATGTGAGCAAAGCAGCGGATTTGGAAATGTGGGTAAACTTCATCGTCCCTTCTCGAATAACAGTATCGGCCAGGTATTCATCGTACCGCTGACACAGCTTCTGGAAGAGACATCGGTGCAGCGTAAGAAGCCAAGACCTGCTCCAAAATCGATAGAAATTAAGAGTGCTCAGAGGGGTATTGTATCTTATGCCATTCAGCCTGTTTGTAAAGTTCACTATTCATGTTCCTTGTTCGCGTGGGGTATTTTGTAGCCTTCAATCACGCCCTGGGCTTCGAGAATAGAATTCTCTTCCACGTAGTGTGAAGTAGAGCATTGAGTCATGGGGCCGGGTGGAATCGCGGTGTATGATAGCGTGGTGGCCAATATGGGCAGCGACTGAAATCCAAAGTAGTTGCCATTGGTATGAACGCTTGTCTCTGCTGGCTAGCTGTAGCAGCGGAATTTGTCCGGATGTAGAGAGACGCGAGTATTGTGGACATCGAGGATGGTGCGTGTTGAGGATTCCATTTGATGTTTGAGTTGAGGGTGAGGGTAATTTTTGACCGTGAGTGATGTTGTGTTGATGGTGAGGGCTAGTGGTGAGTGAGGGTTGAGGGTGAGAGCTGGTGATTGTTGAGTATCGCGGTGGTCAAAGCTTATGGCGGGACTAGCGATGGACATTTAAATAGATGGGATTCCCACTTTTGATAGTAACCTCTTCAAGAATATTACAACTACCTATCTCAACAGTGATAACGGGGCCGGACCATGGGTCCCTCTGTTGATGTGCAGTGCGGCGCGATTGCCGAGCGGTGAAGTGGATGCCACCGGTCACCACCGATCGTCGTCATCACACAAATCTCCGTTTTCTCAACAATAATTCAAAAGCTGATGCACGGTGCGAACCCGAACGTCAGCATTAATCCGCTGGAGAGTGTATCTGATATACTGTACATGTAGTCTCTTCTGAAAAAACCCGACTATGAGCTAGGAGTTGAGTGATGCAATCAACATAGTTTGCCAATTCAACCAATATTCTTAGTATACGGTAAATTGTATTTCTTTCTAGACTCCAGTGGATTTTCAGTGAGACATTTTCTCGGTTAGAGCTTCGTCGCATGTTTTTAAGCGATATTCTATATCTAAGGTAAGCTCGTCATTTATTGAATCGATTTAACAGAGATATATATCGCCAGACCGGCTCTAGAGCATCCGGCATGAGTGGTAAATGTTGTAGTTCAGAGGTATAAATTGTGTTAAGTTATATGTACGTTCAGAGGGAACATGAGGCTATATATACAACAAGAAGATCAAGTTGATTTCCAATCAACTTAGTTCTTCGTATACATACTTCGGGATTAATTCCGATGGTTCGGCTTGGTTCCTGATCTGCACCAGCCTCATATCACAACACTAATGAAAGGGCAGGAGAGCCTGTGGAAAATTCCTCCGTTACGGAATATTGTTGAACCGAAACGTTTGAGCATCACGTGTTCCGTACCGCCTTTCAAATAACGTGAGGACTAGATCGCCAAACGCGGATTTGGGCGGTGGGCGGGTATGGCGAGCCCTAGTAATACGTCATTAGCACATATACCCGTGGCGATAGAAAACTTACTCATCCTATATTAACCCGCTGAAATGAATTATCTTCTCTTAGTGCTAATTGTAGAGCTGTTAACGATACGATATCGGCACTGTTTTCCCATATCGTCAATCGGCATCGTCAACTTCGAAGTCTGCCGATATCGTATCGGCAATCGCGATCGACAGTTTAAACGATACGATATCGGCAAATTATATTATCGTCGGCGATATATCGCCACCGGTAATTGGACAATAAGACAATATTTCCTGGTCCTAGATATAGAAGACTTTACTACAAAGAGAATGTTAGCTTAGATACTCGTTAATTAGGGCAATTCGTTCCCGTTATGTAGTCCTACGTCGTGTTGTTGCCGTGCTATGTGGCTGGATATTTATATATTTTACGTTGCTCTGCCGTCATATCAACTAACTCTGTACTTGCAAAGTATATATCTAATCCTTTGTAAGTTGCTTCCATTCCTCTGCGCAAACATGTACATATATATATCTATGTTGTAGGCTTCTCCGTCCCAGCATACCATCATATTACAGTCAACTCTCGTGGGCTGCACATCCGTGAGTTGCACACATTTGTCAGCAGCACACTTTTTTCCTGTCTAGACTAGTTTTACCCCACTCTTACATATAAAACTCTCGTGAGCTGCACCATTCATGGTTTGCACACTTTTTATTTCCCCTATATTCGCTTATTCAGCATATTTGACCAATCACAATGCAGGATTCTACATCGCCGTCACCATCTCTCCCCACTACCCCTTCAGTCCGATCTTCGGTCAGCCTTTCAGCGAAATTACCCTATCCAAAACGATCAAATGCGACTATATCTGATGCTCAGAGGAAAGCCCTACGTATCTTTGCATCTGATACACGTCCTAAGCCTACCCAGAAAGCTTGTGCTGCATGGTTTCAAGAGAAATTTGGCCGAATTATCGATCGGGCGACAGTTTCTCGAACCCTTTCATCTCAATATAACTACCTGGATAATGGTGAAGCTGGGACTAGATCAAGGAAGTCCACCGCACACTGGCCGCTGTTAGATGAGGCTTTATTTCAGTGGCAACAACGACACACAGAGAAGGGATTTCCTATGACTGGGCCCCTGATTCGTCTCAAAGCTGCAGAATATTGGAAGAAGATACCGATGTATAAAGATCAGACTATGCCTGCATTTAGTGATGGCTGGTTATCTGGCTTTAAACGTCGATATTCAATCAGACGGCATACCTTTCAAGGTGAAGCTGCCTCAGTCCCAGACTCAATACATCATGAGATGAAAGCGATCCAGATTATCTGTGATGAATATGCGCCTGAAGATATCTATAATATGGATGAGACTGGTCTTTACTGGCGACGTATGCCTAATGGTGGGCTTGCATCTGAAGGTCGTCCTGGCCAGAAGAGAGACAAGACTAGGATAACTATCGCTGTTGCATCAAATGCAACCGGTTTGGATCGATTACCTCTCTGGATCATTGGGACTGCAAAGACCCCTCACGCCTTAAGAGGTGTGAATATGGTTTCTATTGGATGTAAGTGGCGCTATAACAAGAAGGCTTGGATGCGACATGAAATTATGGAACAATGGTTACGCACTTTTTACCTACGGATTGGTAGGCAAAGACGTGTACTTCTATTGATGGATAATTTTAGTGCACATCTTGTAGCCCTTGAAAAGGCGCCACCACCATCTAATATAAGGATAGTCTTTTCTTCCCAGCAAATGCTACATCTATCTATCAGCCCCTAGATCAGGGTATTATCCAAAACCTCAAGCATTATTATCGCAAGAGCTGGATGTATTGGATGATAGGTATGCTAGACCGTGGTATTGATCCACGTGAACGCATGAGTCTAAACTATACACTGCGGTGGTTGACACAAGCATGGCGAACAAAGGTCAGCAATGAGACTATTCAGAACTGTTTTACCAAGAGTACTGTTGTTCCTGGGTGCCGACCATCTAATCAAGATCAGATAAAAAGTAACCTACTGGATCCTGAATTAAAGCCTCTTTATAATCAGGTTGTTGAAAAGCTTGTATTTCAACCAGATGCGGATGAAATACTACCATTTAATGAGTTTCTCAACCCATTAGATGAAAATATTGATACTGCAGAGCCAGAATTAGACGACATCATTCTTAACTTTGGTGGTGAGGATATCGACGATGATCTTCCTGATCCTGATGAGGAATATATATTTGGGCCAAGACCAGAGATTCCATCTGATACGGTAATTCTACGACATCTATCAGATCTATCACTGTGGGCTGCACACAGAGAGGGGTGCACAGAGGAGAATATGTTGTCAATTGAGGCTTTAACCAAAGCTTTCAAGAAGCTTGAGGTAGATGGGAAGAGACAGAAGACATTGATGGAGATGGGATTTAAACCCAAATAGGAAAAGCTTCATGTATATTATATAATCATGATATCGTCATCTCACGAGCTGCACACATTGGGTGTGTGCAAGATAAAATTCAAGCCTCAGAGGGTGTGCAGCCCACGAGAGTTGACTGTACCTGTTCTATTCTATGGCTACGCTTTGCTTCTTCCATTATGCTATATGGCAGATTATCCAAAGGTCATAAGGGTTCAATCCTATTTTATGGTTCATCTCTATTTAGACGCGACGCGTCTGAAAGACTGGGACGCGTACCCCGACCTCTTCTTGGTTGACAGTAACCTGCTCTTCCAGACACTAACCAGCTCCATACATGACTCTTCAACCCTGGTTCTACTGAACCACTGGGCCCATATCAACAGCGAGCTGCGATCAGTAAGTCGTATTCATCCGCACTGCGCCAGTGGGCTGGTGTATCCAACACAGAATGCGTACGCGGCAGAAACGCCTCAACTACCGAGTTCTGAATGATGAGAGCGATGAAGAGTCTTTGCCTGAGGATCAAATTGACCAATCAAGCGAATCAAGCGAGCCACTGAGCAATCTCCCACGTACTCTCCCAACCTGTCAAAAAGATGTGGTAATCCTCACCAACATACCAGATTGTGAGCTCCTACCTTCCGAGTCTGTGTCACAAGTGCTAGTATCGCAAGAGAGCTCAACAGATGCTGGTACATCAATCACAAGCCACATATCCTCTCAATGGTGCAAACGACCAGCGCCGGCTACAGAATGGATCTGGGGGTACTTCAAGACTACAGCCATTGATTGTCCATGGGTTATCAAGAGGACCAACAAAAGACGGCTGGTCGACCGAGAGATTTGCTGTATCCATGTAGATGAAAAGACGGGAATACGCTGTGACTGGCATACGTCGGATTCCCAAAGGCAAAACACAACCAGCAACATGAAGACGCACTTGGCAAAGCATGGCATTTATTGCCCGACCTCCACTATACCGCCAGTAAAGAAAGGACCCGACATTCGGACTTTTATGGGTGGTAAACAGAGTCTTACTCATCAAGAGGTCTTGGAAATGAATGCCATTCGCTGGATTGTGACTGATATGAAAGCCTTCACTACTGTCGAGTCTCCAGAGTTTCAGCAGATGTTCCGAGACATTCCTGGGATTGAGCCTCCATTCACTTCTCGCCACACCTTGCGGGATCGAATCATGCAAGAGTTCGTCATACAGCGCACCAACCTGAAAAGTGAGCTGGCTTTGACTTGCAAAACCATTGCCTTATCACTGGATATCTGGACAAGCCAGAATAATCTTCCTATTTTAGGGATAATTGGTCATTGGCTGACTGGCGAATTTGAGTACCGCGAGAGATTACTCGAGTTCACTGAGCTCCAAGGTATTCATAGTGGCGAAAATCTGGCGATTGCAGGGGAAAATATGCTTATTGAGTTGAGTCTCGAGGATAAGCTTATTTCTATTACAGGCGACAACGCCAGTAACAATGAGTCCATGGCATCCGAGTTATACTTCTCTCTTTCTGACCGACCTAGGGTGGAAGACACCATGCCAGCACAACTCTATCGAGGTCTTGACAGCTATATCCACTGTCTGGCTCATGTCCTCAATCTGATTGTGAAAAATATACTCCGTAACTTGGGGTCGGGGACGATGGAACAAGCGCAAGTTGCCTGTGACTGTTTGCAGACTGGTAATTTGATCACAGATCACTCCGCAATAGTGAGATTACGAGTCCTTGCTCTTTGGATTAACCGAAGCCCACAGCGCCGACAGAAATGGAAGGAGATTTGTAGACTCAACAATCTTCCCGACAAATTTGTTGCGTACGATGTTACGACACGATGGAACTCGACATTTCGCATGAGTCAACAAGTTCCTGAACCTTCAGGAGGAGCTCCCACCGTTCACTCTCCAAGATTTGTCACGGCTGGAATAGATTCACAAAGTACTCCACAAGTTCAATGAGCTTACTTTGTTCATTTCGAAACGCAATCCACAAATCAGCCTCGCAGTCCCAATTTACTATGAGCTACACGAATTGCTTGATGACGTGAGGGAGGGCAATGGTGACTTCGCAAAACTGGATCGAGATATTATAGCTGCAGTGAATGAAGGGATGAAGAAATACGAAAAGTACTATTCCATTATGGACGACTGTGACGCCTACTACACTGCCCTCGTCTTGGATCCCCGAGTCAAAGGCGAGATGGTCTTACGGGAACTTCGAGATGGCAATGCAGGGACAATGATTCTGGAAACGATCCGCACCAATCTCCATCAGGTATACACGGCTAGTAACCCGGAACATAATGCCACTGCAACACAGTTGTCTTCCCTGAAGCATAGTGATGTGGAGTCTAGAATGCTGAAGAAGTTGCAGGCACGAGATCCACCGCTCTCAGATATTGATAAGTACTTCGACACCCCTCCGATCAGCGTCGCAGATACCACCAGCCAAAACTGGCTCTGTAATTGGTGGAGGACGCACAAGGGCGAGTACCCGCGGATGGCAGCAGCAGCCAGGGACTATTTAGCGATACCTGCCTCAGAAGTTGCTGTGGAGAGAGTGTTTAGCACAGCGAGGGATGTGCTAGGTATCCGGAGATATTCTTTGAAAGGGGATACCATACGAATGCTGATGTTGATTCGCGATGGGTATAAGTGGTAGCGGTCAAGGGGTTTGGTTAAATTATGCCATCGCGATAGTCCGGTTCTGCATTCATAAATTGTCAACTGAAACTGCTGTTCGACGAAAGCGCGTTCGCTCTCTAGATAATTAATTCTAAAGGAAAAATGTGCCGATGCCGATACGATATGACGATATCGTAAGTGACGATATCGTCAAATTTGAAGCCCGCCGATATCGTACCGGCAATCGGCATCGACAGATTCAAAAGAGCCGGTATCGTATCGTCTGTCGATATCGTATCGTCAATATCGGTATATCGGCAATATCGTCAACAGCCCTACGATTCGATTCGAATTAATATCGAAAATAACGTTTCGTACGAATTCGAATTGAAGATCGATTCGAAGTCGATTCGAAGTTCGCGAACTTTTTGTACTAAACCCTTATTTGGAAAGCGGTAAATCACGTCCGATTATATCGTACTATATCTGTTGTTCTACACGTTGGTGAGCAATCGACATCACATACAATAGTTAGTTTAGTAATTAGTTAATTGACAAACTCAGAGATAGCTCTATTTGATCTGACATAAAATTGAGCAATTTGGCTTCGGGTTGAACAAGGTGTAGAGCATTATCAATAGATCCAAATTCTCGCCCCAACCCTCTGTTCAAAATATATAATCCTACTCCCAAGATTCCCCACAAGTCCGTAATCGTATCTGTGATCTGTTTTGTATCAAATTATATCAGCTCATAGAACGTATTAAGATACACGTAGTCTACTGATATGGAGTCAAAACATCAATAATTGCACATTATTTACGATGCAGAGTAAATGGATGGTCTAATCGGGCTAGCGGAGATTCTACAAGAACGCGTCTTCGCGTGGACGTGCTTTTACCAAGAGCAACATCCAAATCCTGGTCAGAACCTACTGAAAACCATCCCTTATGGTGCTCCAAAGTAAGCGATCAATTATGACACAAGCATGATATACTAATATAACCATACAGATGACATCTCCACCTGTAACCATATTTGACTGTCCTAACACCAGGAAGAATAAACGCGATTATGCAGCGCTTCATAAATATGGCCTCCTTGCAGAGGATATCCCACTTCCGCGACCTCGAAAAAAGGCGGCGGTCCGGCCCGCCGTTAACTCATCAACTACTCCGGTTTCAACCTCTCCGACCGCTCCCAGCAGCGTTTCTATCAGCTTGTCGAATCTTGATACGGATATATGCCCTTCACAATCAATATCTCAGGTTGAATGCGAGACCGAGTGTGTTGAAATCAAGCAGAGAGACGGGACTAGGTTAAAAGAGCGTAGCTAGGTGTGGAAATACTACCAAACAACACCTGAATCTGGTACGTGGAGATTAGGAGATAAGGAGCGACCCGAGCTTAAACATCGGTGTATTGTATCACCATCTACATGTCAATTCGTTCGATTTGCATCGAAACTACGATCTTCAACTACAGCGTTGAAACAGCACCTGCAGCAAGCCCACAAGCTCTTTCAGGACGGCCATCCAGAGCGCCAAGGGCCGTTAAGCTCATAGATTACCAAGGAAAAGAAGCTCCCATTCGAAGAGGCTATCTTGGATTGGATTATATCTACCTGTCAGCCGTTTACATGCGTCGAGCAACCTTCGTTTAAGGCCATGTTGAGGTCTGTAGACTTTGAGGCGTCTATACCAAGTGCGGACACTGTTTCGCGCCGGTTAAATCTTCGGCTTGATGCTCTTGACTGTAAACTTCGAATCTTGATGGCTTCGGCATCCTCAATCGCGCTATCTCTTGATAGCTGGACAAGCCAGAATTCGTTACCAATACTAGCAATCAATGCTCACTGGATGTCATCTGATTTCCAGCAACATCGAGGTTGTATTGAGTTTGTTGAAATCACAGGCAACCACTCTGGAGAGAATCTTGCTAATATTGTTGCGACGGTTCTTGAGAGATTTCATATATCTGATAAAGTTATAACAATTACAGCTGACAACGCATCTAACAATGATACACTACACCGATGTCTTTTCCAAAAGCTGTGTCAGCGGTACGATGAGTACCTGGCCGATACGGTTATTCGAGAAGGGACGATGAAATTTACCCAGAACTCCCAAATCCGCTGCTTTGCTCACATCCTGAATTTGGTTATGAAAAGAATATTGAGGTCTTTACGCGCAAGTTCACATAGGGAAGCTTGTGACTTCCTTGATGATGTTGCGAAGAGGAGCTGGAAGACAATAAAAGTTCCTACTTCCCCGATTGCAAAGCTTCGGCTACTTGTCCTTTGGATTGCGCGATCTCCCCAGCGAATACAGCAGTGGAATAATCGACCTGGCTGTACAAAAGCCATCCACTACGATATTGATACTCGATGGAACTCTACTTTTGTTATGATTGAGAGAGCCGAAGAGTGTCGCCGGCAGCTTGAAGATACAGTCAACGATGAGCCAGATATTGAAGCTTTACGTCTCACACCTAACGATTGGAGACAGCTCTCGGATATCAAGAAAATTTTGGCTCCTTTCAACGAATATACTGAGTACGTCTCTCGGGATAGCCCCTCAATTCATATGGCAGCGCGGATGTTCGAAGAGCTTCGCTCTATACTCTTGGCTATTAAGGAACGGCGAGGTGATTGGCAGAATGTCTCGCCAGCTCTAACTGGTCCTATATCTGATGGAATCACACTTCTGGAGCACTACCGCGACTGCGTCAAAGACAACGACATATACTATATCTCAAGTGTTCTGGACCCTCGGATCAAGACTAAGTGGCTCAAAACGCTGCAAGATGGAGAGAGGATCATTGACCGAATCAGAGTGTTCCTAAAAAAAGCATATCCCACCCCAAAACAGCCTATATCGATTGCTCTAAACACAAGTTACAAGAGCTTCGAATACCGATTTCTGGAAGCCTTTCAGCCTACACAGTATAACGTCGCTGAGTCTAACGTCGACCAGTACTTCGATACGCCTACAATCAGCACTGGTTTCGATATAAGCCAGAGCCAGACTGAATTCATACGAAACTGGTGGAAGATCAACAGGCTTGAATTTACCTGCATGGCCCAGGTGGCACAAGATCACCTTGCTATACCAGCAGCAGAGGTGGATATCGAGAGACTATTCAATCATAGGAGAGATGTTCTTGGAATTCGACGTTTCTCCATGAAAGGAAGGATGCTTGGGACCTTATTAAGGCTAAAAGATGCTGGACGTTGGAAGTCTGAATAGTTACATAGTGATAGTTTTTACAGTATAGAATAAAGAATTATAAACCATACCTAGAACAAACTTCTATGTGCGAATCTAATGGATGTAGTGGCCAGGGTTGTTGAGGTTATGACTGTCCGCATGAGTAAACCCCTACTAGTTCGCGAACCTGTTCGAAATTCGCGACTTTTGACGAATCAAATCGCCCATAGATTCGAAGTCCGAAATCCAAGGTTCGAATTCGATTCGATTCATTGAAATTCGCGAACTTCGAATAGTTCGAAAGTTCGTGCGGAGCAGTAACCGCAGAACCCCCTCATGTATGTACTAAGTATGCTTCCACATAGCTTTCTTTCCTCCTAAGAATACACGGAGTGCTACGGGCCCGCCTGCAGCCCTCACGGCGCTGTAGCCTTCTGTCAAGGAGACCTACATCACCATGTTCAGTCTGCAGGTGCCCCGTACGGGCCAAAAATATCTCACTCGTCTCCATTTGTAGCAGTGTAGCAATGGTTGCAATAGAAGTAACTGTCACAGATACATCATCCCTCGTATATAGTACGAATCCTCTGATCCTCTTCCCGCGTCTTAATCTAACATTCCTTGTCTACATTTACATTTTCAAAGTCAGCTTATCGAAGTATAACCTCTGCGATGTCCCAGCAATATATTCACATCAAAATTCAAAATAATTTAAAGTATGATATTCGCATCTAAAACGCGGGCCTTGTCAGGTACTTTTCTTTTCCCCAAAGCTCAGTCTTTTTCTGATATATGCACTGTGGCCAGTTTTACGGAGAGAATGATCGAAACGATATTCTAACGTCTGACGATGTCGACGACATGGTTATTCGTCATAACAGTGGTATACAGACCATGTGCTCTATGTACAGATCCCAAGGAAGCATCGATCTCATTGACGACGCAAAGGATACGAGGATATGCAGTCTAACCCGGAGATCCTCCATAGAGCCCGAAGAACCGAACAAATTTAAGAAGCTCAACCACAATTCGAGGTACATGGGTGAATTGGTAAATGGAATGAAAATGGTTATGGGAGCAGTCCTTGTTACCATTAAGGAGCAATCTTGATATTGATTGAAGCTAGTTTCTTGTTAATAAACCCTATGTTCACCAGAAGCCCGCTCAGATATTGAGCAGCAGGATGAGGAAACCGACCAAGCCCCTGAATGTTGTCTTTATAAATTAAAACCTATTTCCACACAATCCTCTCACAAGATTCACCTTGTGTCAGCCATAATGTGCATTGTGGAGTTGTTTGGTATTAAAGCAACAAGTACCAACTAACAGGAGTTGTTGAGTTAGACGTATTACCCCGGTGACGTGTCTGATTGGTAGTCCACTTCTAGAACGTCACGTCCACCCCTTAACATCATAAGTTTTATTGTAGCCATTACATTATTTTGTCGATTCGGGTTATTTCCGGAAAAGGGCTCTGCTGGTCGTTGCGTTCCCAGCGCACCCAGAAACCCCTCGGGGTCTGTCCGCGTAAATTTGTCTTCCCGAGATATGTACTGACCACATCCGAAAGCTGTGTGTATGAAATATCTTCGTTGACAGTAATGGGCGTCATATATGTTCCAACTTCGAGCATAATTGGTATACTGTTGGGCATTGCGGCGTATTAAAATACAATTGTTGGAAGCCCGGTGGGAAGCGTTGGGAGTTGATAAGTTGTAAATTAATACTGGCCAACTGTAAACGTGGACAGGTTGGAACTGGCAAAAGATAGAAATGATCATTTGGCTATATAGGTAACGATACTTGTTAAAATAGAAAGAGAAATGCGGGAGGGAACAGGTACACGTCATCCAGACGTCAGGATATCTATTGGGCGATGAGCCCTCCTTCATTATATGTTGAAACCTTAATTTAATGACTCATTTCTGGCATTATATAACACATTTAGAATACCTGAAATTTCCATTCCCATGCACCTTAGGACTATTATATTCTGGGCTACCTAAATTAACAGGCCACCCAGCTATTGACACATCTGGAAGAGATTGGACACAAGAAACTGTCAGCACTCACGCACCAGGTCACAACGTACAGACACCCTTTTGCGTAATATCTCCCTGAAAAGCGCCCGAGACATGAAAGCTGACATATCGTCACTATCTGTAAGGTGGCGGAAACTGTCAAGGTAAAGATTTCTCCATCATGTTAGGGTTGAATGGTATTTTTATTGCCCGAGCTTCCCCAATTATACCGGAGGCAAAGTAAATATCTTTTACGCGGTATAAAAGTCAATAGAAACCGCAGCCATTGTAGCAACAGTGCTACGCCAACCATACAAGGAGTTATTGGAATTCGGAAGAGTTGCCTATGCACCACCAGAGTCCCGTATTGATACATCACCTCGCTTGCCTGCTTGCATACGCATGGAGGCATGCCCTAAAAAGGAGGAGCACAAAGTCGGAGGAAAGAAAGACAGCTTTATGAAGGACTTGTGATTAATATCGATGGTCCTTTTCCTCAAACAAGCCCAATGCTCTGGTTACAGTACCACTTTGGTACCTATAAATAGGTATTTGCATGGGGCTCCTAGGATCTAGCCAAGGGCTCCAGGGGCCAACCTTCTGTTTCAAAGATCGGCACTGAGGGCCCTAGGAGCTTTGTCGCTCCGCGGAATACCGCGAAATAATTCCCAGGATTACTCCAACGACGCAATCGCACCCTTTCATGATCGCTATGTCTCTAGCTAGCAGAGCTAGCATTTTCGTCTAAATCAAAGAGCAGGTAGACAGAATGCCAAGGCTTGCTGAGGATTTTCACTACTTCTTGCTGTACCGAAAATAATCACCTGTGGGCTGGGTAACATTTTGATCGACTACTGGGACCTAAAGTAAGTCAAGGGTCCGCCGATTCCTTGTCAGAATCTGTATAATCCGCCACCAAAATCCTAGAGGAATGTGATAGGAATCGTCGCTTGAGGGATGGCACGGCCATGGCTGCTCATATAAATACTGCAACCGTGGTGTGGCTTACGTCACGTATGTTCTCACTATATTGCGTCGAATACCTTTGAGAATAGAGATTTCCGAGCCGGTGATGTTCACTGTGCTCGCCAGCTTTGCTCGCTCCTTATTCGAGGCAACAAAAAATACCGAGCTAGACTCTTTGGCTTAGCTACGGCTTCTTCGGAAGAAGGTCACACAATACCAATCCCAAGCCCTACAAGACAATTAAGGCGGCCCTGTATTCACGAGTGTTCTGCGGGGCTTTTATGCTGCATGCCGAGGGTTATGAACTCAGCTAGTCCATGTCAATTTTGCACCTTGGTGTGATGATTGGCTGGAAAGAAGTACAAAAAACATCAAAGCTCACCGATCAGTGGGTAGTGGGCCCGGGCGTTAGTAGTGACAACACTAAGCCCCACCCAATGCGGTTACGGCAAACTTAAATGATATGTTCTATTCGGGATTGTTGCGGAGAGCCCCCCCCCCTTGCGTCGGGTCCACAATATTCCGTGCTTGTAATCGCACACAGATATTGCTCGTGTATCCTCTCCTTTGAAAGGAACATCGCCGTTTCGAAGGAGAGTTGGGCTCTCTTCGCAGCTGCTTCTTCCCGCCCACCGCAGAATCCCTCATGTATGTACTAAGTATGCTTCCGCATAGCTTTGCTTCCTCCTGAAATATACGGAGTGCTACGAGCCCGCCTGCAGCCCTCGCGGCGCTGTAGTCTTCTGTCAAGGAGACCTACATCACCATGTTCAGACTGCAGGTGCCCCGTACGGGCCAAAAATATCTCACGCGTCTCCATTGTAGCAATGTAGCAATGGTTGGAATAGAATGGGGCAATATGGTCAGCAAAGCTACAAGGAGTGTGTCATTTGTGGAAGCCACTTCCGCAATATCCATCTGGTGACTCTGAAGTGGACTCTGTCCATTTCAAAAACCGGATACGCCAAATCTCAAACTACTGCTGGTTGGTCCACATGCGGGTTTATGGTGGAACTCCAGGGGCATAGTAGGTTCCAGGCTTTCTTAACCTGGGTAGCCTTCTCTTTACTCCCCGCATATTCGTACATTTGCCATGCATAGATAGAAGATCCAGACCAAAATTTTTCTCTTCAGCACGCCTGGATTTAGCCAATCCGAGTCTCTTCGTCTTTTTGGGTCCGAGTTCATGCGAGGAGGTGTAATATTATGCAACTCGCATTCGACATCACATACTACGTCTCTTCACATACATCACGGTTCATCGCGTAGTATATGTATAAAAGGAGAAAGAGGCCGGTCATGTGATATGGGTCCTGTTCCTTCTCTTACCACTTAGCATCCCCGAGGAGCAAAGTAAAGAGCCGGAGATAACAGATATTTCTACCAATGTTCCATGCAAGGCTCAATAACTTGTACTTTGCTTTCTAGAGGTACCTACACAGTTTCTTTGTATTCTTTCATTCCTTCTTGACAAAATTTCAAGTGGAGACCAAAACGGCAAAAACAATGCCAGATTATAGTGAAGGTTCAGGCTGCATTTCTGGAAACGAAACAAACATGGCGTTCACACTGGAGCCACCCACCACAATCCAACAGGGTGAGACTTCCACTGTTTGTGTCAGTGTGGTTATGGGTAGTTTATATCATCTTACGGAAACACAAAGGCAAGCATTTGCTGTGAACATATCTCTCGTCCAAAAAGACAATTCAGGTCCCAGAGATGGACTGAGAGGTAGCTTGACGTCCTGTCTACAGTTTCATCCAGGCCATCCTTCACACGGTTTTGCTGTGTTCAGCTATATTAGCATCCACCGAATAGGTCTGCACCGGCTCCAAGTTTTACTGGGAGCTCTCTACCGGAATGATGATCGAGGCACGTCTGGTTTCTAAAGTTCTCCACTCTAGTTTGGAAAACTAAATCCATGCAAATAGGGCAGGCCAGAGTTCCTTGCCGCCTCGACTTCGAACCCGAATTCCGGTATCTGGCACTTCCTCGGGCGAGAAGGCCCACACTATGCATCAGCTCTTGCTAGTACTAAGCTACTTATTCGTCATTGTAATGATTGCTGAGAATGGGGGTGCCTTATGGGCCATCATCTACCGCAGAGTCTAGGACTGGGAAAAAAGCTTCTTCCTGGGATATAGTCTGTTGCAGTCCTGGTTCACTGACATCCGCGACGCTTCAACTGAATCTCAGGGCTTTGCATGCCATGCCATGTGAAGACTGGGAAATTCAGATCCAAAATGTTCTGTTTCTCCTTGGGCAATATGCATCGCAAGAGTCTAGCTTTCTTCAGGCGTGCTTTGAAGAGCCTCAGTTCCCCTATCGACCTTTTGGGGTGGGAGCTAGTATCGCTCTGATAAACGCCGCTTTCATGGTAATTGGTGCTATACACATACGGGGCTACGAGTCGAAGGAGATCTGGTTACGTGACGAGTTGTTTTTCTCTGCCATGCTGGTACACTTAAGAAGGTCCCCAATATTCTCCTCCGACCTCTCAATGGGACAGCTGCAGGCAATCCTGCTGGACCTTCAAAAGGCATTCCAGAACGATGAAGTCAGGGTTGCGTCGGTAAAGCCCCAAAGGATAAATGTCAGCAACAGCGCAGATATGATAAACTATTACACCCACGCATTCCTATCATTAGGCCCGCTCCTTCTTCCAACAATATCGCTCGTTGCTTTAGGAATTGAGCCGTCAACCAGTTGCACCATTCATCATTTGGCCACTATCTCTGGGAATGAATTTTACTTGGGAAAGGGTCTTTCAAATCAAGCACCACTCGGTTTGAGAACCAGCCGAGCTGATGTTGCTTCAACCCACTGAATGAAACCTTTAACATCTCAAGCTTAAACAGCGGGACGCTGTCTTAAAGAACTTCCTGACGTCAGTTCAGTTCTTGAGCAACGCATGTTACTCCTCGCTGAGATGGCGAAGGTAGGACTGAATGATATGGTAAGAATATACTTCCCCACGAAAGGTGAGGTGCAAGTCTCTTTGATCGCGAATGTACTCTAGAGGCGTGTATATATAAGCAATAAAGTATTCTCGGCGCTGGACAACTATGATCGGGTCAGCAAGCCGCACTTCGGAGGTTCAAGAGAAAAATATGACTCACGCGGATAAACTAGCTCGGCAGCGTCATAGTGTAAAACTTTGACACAGGAAGCGACTTGCGATGTAGCTAGTTTTTCTAAATTTTCATAGCCCTCATTTGGAAATATGAATTTGACCGTATGGAAGATGAATTCCAAAATGACGGATCGGGACCTCTTGCTAACCAAAGAAAATGATGAATAACTCGAAAGACAACATATACAATTCAAGAAAGAAGAAAGACAGTAAAAAGGTGAGCCTTATATCTCAATATCTCTTCTACTTCTGTCTTTGATCCAGTTAAGACTACTTAATCATCATCTTTACACTTCCTTCTCTCTTTCCTTGTCAGTTCAACTTCTAAAATCCTCCCTTCAAATATCTTTTCTTGCAAGCCATCGTCGTCCCGATCAAAATAGAGCGCCCATGAACCCTCAACTTCCACAGCCATAAAACCCTCCCAACCCTCCAAAGTAATTCTCTTCTCGATTGGAGTGCAGTCCCATGGCCCAACAAGATGGTCTTCCGAGTCTGTTCGCAAGCCGTATTTCACTTCATAAGTTTCTTCGTCCACGTATATCCAATTTAGTTGTGGAGGCTCATCGCAGATCGTAGAGACCATGCCTTCTCCCTTGCGACCCCAGTTTCGCTCAGGATAGGGAAGGAAATATCCTGCGAATGGATGCTGTGATAGATCGGTCCGACCCTCAGCCGTAGGCAAGGCAATGTTTAGCTGGTTATCAACTGCATTAGCGAACAGCACAGGTTTGTTACGTTGGCTCTCTTCGTAGAATATGTACCTTATTGTCGCACAACACTATGGAACATCCATCAATGTACCTGCCCGCGTTTGAGGTCCTGGCGCAGGAAATGATGAGATTCGATTTCACACCTCTGTGTTTTTCTTTCGCATTTGTTCTTTGCCCTTGGCGGACCGCTTCAGTAGTACCAACGATCGCAGGACAAGCCGCTATAGCAGTGAGAAGTCCTAGGACCATGGTTTCTTGATTGTTGTTTGGATTTGAAATTATCTCCCATAATCATTTTATTCGAAAATAATCCGGGGAAAAGGGGGGCTCAGGTTCGCTGATTTCTTTTTCTTGAAACGCGTCACTGAGGAGAATCTTAATATATTTCATCTATTTCATCCGCATGATGTGACACGGTTGACATTATGACGCGTTTTTTTCAACCCCATGTAGCCTCGCGCATGGTTTACCACAGTTGGCATTATGACGCGTTGTTTCAACCCCATCTAGCCTAGTGCCTATGAGCTACGGAGGCGTGCCTCATGGCGTTTCATAGGGGCCTGTACTCTGGTGCCACATTACAAGTTGCAGCCCGCTTCTCTGTCAATAAATATAAAGTACTACATTTTTCCCACCCATCCTGGTTGTAGGTATAAAGTTGCGGTATCAATTCTCAGTCTTATCCTCATCAATACACAATCATGTCCCAAGTGTATGTCTTCATATCTCTTGAACTACCATCCATTCGTGAGACTAATGATATCTACAGACATCAGCAAGAAGTCAGCGACGAGGAATTTGAAGAGGAGCGAACACAACTTCAGCCCCCTCCCAACCCTACAGGCGGCCGCAAACCCGCAAAACTCGCACGCAAGGCACCCCCGGCACAAGAGTATCAGGACGATGTAGTCCCAGCTCCTCTTCCTGGTAGAAGGATTGGTCCGATTCGCGAATCGCGGATCAAGGATCGACCAGCGAAAGTGGGCGAGAAGGACAGCAGCTTGAAGATCAAAATTGAGCTGGATCTGGAAGTCGAGGTAGAGATCTATGCACGAGTTAAGGGCGATGTGACCATTGGGTTGATGTGATAATTAGGTTGAAATCTATGCGAGAGTCAAAGGAGATGTTACCATTGGTCTATTGTAAGATGTGAGTTTGATTTCAGGTCTAAGCAACGGCATATTAATAACCATAATATAGTACAACATAGCTTGGCCTGGCGCTCTCCTTAAGAGTGTGTACTCCGCTATTGCCTCATTGAACAGATGCGAGTTATACTTGCCGTGGAAGATAGCTGGTGTGTCTGAATTGATGATCTGGACTTGAGGCAACCCAGATTTTTTACGAAGATTGTCTGTCGTAGATCGTATTCAATTTGCCCAACCATCAAGTCTTTCACCACTTTTTCGAGTGCCTGGAAGGCGCGGAGGGTGCCCGTCCTTGTATTCCGAGCAAATGTGATAAAGAATTGATCTGAGAATTCGTAAATGAATGATTTCACCTAGATCATTACTGTGAGTCAGGTCGCATAGTGGTTCTATAGGGAGCACATACATGACACTCATTAACTGACTATCGCCAATAATAAGTATGCCAGCTCCCAGGTTCCCCGCAAGTCTCCACCACCACCTACCTCGTCGTACATGATATCCAGTAATCCTATTCCGGCGACACTGCGTTGGCATGGCAATGCGCACATCATCGTGGTACACATCAAGGATGGAATTCAGAACATCAGTCACCCTGCGTTTTGACGAACAAGGAAAATGATGATTCCCTGCGTGCTTGCGCAACTCCTCGTAATTAAAATAGAGAACTTTCGCAGGGACATCTGCGACACCAAGAGTCTCCGCAGGAGAGGGCTGCGTCAACAAACTCTCCCTCACAGAAGATGAGCCCTGTGATTGTAAAAACGCGCTCCCTCACAGCCCATGAGCCCTGCGTTATCAAATGTGTGCTCGTTTAGGCGACCCGTGGCGCTGCGGTCCTCGTCCTGGTCCTCTGGCGACATGCAGGCACCTCTTCGTGGTGTCAGAGACTAGTATTCGGGTCCGTCCGAGACCTCGAAGAAGCCAAGACCTGCTCCAAAGAATCCATAGAATTCAAGAATTCACCAAGAAGAATTTGTGTATGTGCACTTCAAAATTGTATGTAGATGCCACTTTCAATGTCCTGGTTCGCTGTATGTACTTTGTAGCCTTCAATCACGCCCTGGGCTTCGAGGATGGACATTGTCTTCTATGTGGTGTAAAGTAGAAAATTGGGTCATGGGGGCGGTTACTATCCCGGTGTATGACAGCGTGGTGGCCAATCCGGGTAGCGGCTGAAATCCAAAGTAATCAACATTGGTGTGAATGTTTATGTCTTGCCTAGGAGTGGCGACAGAATTTGTCCGGAGAGGCGAGTATTGTGGACATCGAGGTTGGCGCGTGTTGAGGGTACCAGTTGAGGGTGAGGGAGAGGATGCGGGTGAGGTTTGACGGTGATTGACGGTGATGGATGGTGTGTTGATGGTGAGAGCTAGAGGTGAGTGATGGTTGAGGGTGGGAGCTGGTGATAACGGGGCCGGACCAGTGGGTCCCTTTGTTGATGTGTAGTGCGGTGCGATTATTACCGAGCGGTGAAGTGGCCGCCACCGGCAACCACCTATCGCCGTCATAACGCTGATCTCCGTTTTCTCAACAATGATTCAAAAGCTGATACACGGTGTGAAATGATGCTGTCCATCAACTTGAATCTGGTACGACATCAAATTGCAGTGTATTCAATAGACTGTACATGTAGTCTTTTCTGAAAACCCCGACTATGAGCTAGGAGTTGAGTAACACAATTGTCAGTATGAGGAATTAATGTACTGGCTAGTACTGAACATGTCCGATAGAATCAGATTATCGATTGATTGTTAAGATCGGTTGAACGATCTCAGGGTCTCTATATTCGAACTATGGCGTGTTATGACACCATACTAGGAGCAAATTGGGTGAACGATGAATAAGCCGGTCCCGAAGGGTCTTAGTTGTATTCGACCACTTCTTCAGTTCGTCAACAATCAACGTAGGTTGCCAATTCAAAAACTTTGTTCAAGTGCGCATTATCGATGGTAGACTGGATCCTTGTTTTACTCCAGTTGCTCTTCTATGTGACTCGAGTTTCGTCGCATGCTCTTTGTTGTTAATGCTGTATCTGTTAGCACGGTACACAGCCATAAGGTAATGCCGCTATGGTATCTTCAACCGGTATGTGCAATATATATATCCCCAGACTCGCACTGTTGCGTACATTGTTGGCGGTAAAATAGGAAACATTCCATCGGAGTATCAGCAATAAAAAGCCTGGGTCCTCTGATCCTTTTCAAGTATCGTATTGTGTTCCATTGCTCGGCCTTTCTCTCGTGGCGGGAATACGGGAACCAACATATCCATCTGCGTGACTGGGCAATCTCTCGAGCTCAGAAAAGCAGTAATAAAATCTCAGCTCTCTTGGAATATGCCAATTGGTTTCTATTTCTCAAAACGGAAGTATGTGCCGCTGCGGAGAAGATATTCCCGCTCTGTGTTGCCCCCCCAATTGCCTCAATTGACGCTACATAGTGGGGCGCCAGTAACAAACCTGTATAATAAGTCTTGAAACTACTGATTTTCCTCTGGCCCCGTTCTAGTCAAGATAGACCCTGGTTAGGCCACCTGCTTTGACCACCAAGGAACATCGGGGACGTGCTTCGCCAAGTCAAGGTTTCTAGTCCCCGGTGCCTCAATCCTTGTACGTTCCGCCTCGCAAAAGGGTCAGAGGCGTGATATGGGTGGTTCGGTCTCATTTAACGCCTCAAAATACATTTGTCCTTTTATTAGAGCCAAATCAGGACACAAGCACTTTGGTACTCAGCGGCTACAAATATAGCCTTTGTAGATATATGGATTACCTTATCCTTGTATTGTAGTTACTGTCGGGTGGCTATTAAAGGCTAATATTGGCGAATCTTAACCAACCTTAGAACTATGCGTTTGCGAGATAGACAGGCTGAAAGGGGTCTGCCGTAGGAGATCATAACAGTCTCACCAATAGCGCGTGGTTATGATGCCCCTTTTGTACAACATGCCTACCCCATTAGTCAATGTAGAACAACTCCAGACCAGTTAGAAGGCTTATAATAGCTCGACTCCATGTAGATCTCGCGCTTGGCTGCAAAATCCTTACAACAGTAAAAATGGAAACAGTCTTTTCAGTGTCGATCAGGCGTTCCGCTGTCGCTATATCGTAGTTGCTTACATGATGCGCCAACATTTACACACGAGGTTTGGTAGTACAACATCGGGGCCAAAGCCGACGCCGTGTGATATATGACGCTCATGGAGGATTGTGAGTAGGAGGGAAAAGGTATAAATAGGGCATGTTAACCAGCTCCTAGGATATCACCAGCTCCTAGGATATCATTTCAATATATCAATCAAATTTACATTCTCACTTCGGAAGCTCCCGCGCAATCATGAAGTTCATCTCCGTCTCCCTCGCCATTGTCATCTCCCTCACCTCTTTCGCTGCAGCGTCTCCTGCTCCTGCTCCTGCTCCCGCTGAGATTGTTAAGAGATGTTCGGTTTTACACTGCCGCGATGCCGACCCGTCTACTTGCTGTTCCGATAAGTACGGATACTGCAACACGGATACTGGTGAATGTCACTGTGGAAGGGACTGCATTTAGAAATTAAGGTAAGCTGGTCATATGCTTCCAGATAAAATTGACAGGACTAACCACGCATTCTGAAGCACTACCATTGTTCAAGCTGCGAGGAATTGCCCAACTCGAAACAAATTCCTACAGGCGTATATTTGAAATTGCATGACCTGTTATAATCCTATGTGACGCCTAGATCTGTGAAAGAATGAAATAGCTACACACTTGGGTCAATAGTAAACCTTGTGTGAGATTGAGTTCTTTGAAAGATTTAACATGCTTCTGCTGGCTTCTATACTCACCAGTCAACAAAGTATCACCGGATTGTCTCTTCTTATTTCACTAGAGCGTAGACTATCCGACTACGAAACTAGTTTATTTCAAAATTGCAAGGCAATTAATGACGCTTTGAAGCACTCGGATGTATGAAAACACCTAACAAGCGTTAAACAAACTACCTCGTTCTCAAATTTCCATGTAAATAATTAGGTGCACAGTAATATGATTTACTAATAGGAGAGATACACCATTTCCGTTCAAGAATTGTCAGCGGCCAGCCCTCTTGGTGGATCACATTCATTAGCTGCTAAAATGCCTAGGGCAAGATTCCCAATAGATCAACAGAAGTCCTCCTAATCAATTATTTCACTCAACGCACAGAGCTGCCTGCAAATATCAATCTGTTATTTGAAATCGTTGCCAGTGGCAAAAAAAACGATATTCATAATTAGATACATATGTATCACAAAGAGTCCTTTACTCTCCCGTCTGCTCTTGCCAAATCTCCTTTCTAATGTTTTCAGAAGACCTGGATGTTGGAAAATTACACCAGCACCTGTGTAATTGCAATTGTCAGCCTTATATCACGTAGGCTCAAAGCTTGGAAAAATACCTCAAGTGCAATGACCCAATTCCTAGAAATTGCGCCAAGAATAGCGGCTCCTAGCAATAAAATTCCCATGTTTGATATATGAGCTAAGATAACATTCAGCTTTTTCCGGCCCTGTGTGGCGCCTTTGATTAACCATAGGTATCATGCCACTTCGCTTAGATGATCCAAAAAGAGCAGGAAGGGAATGATGTAATGAATTCCATCTAGCATGAATGTTCCAACGAATGCAATTAATATCTTTGAGACCGTGGAGGTGAAAGCATATACTCGGAATACGACACGCGTTGATCGTTTTATGATTGGATTATTCAGCTGAAATAGGAAGCTTATCCGCCATTCTCACACTGTAACGAGAATCTCGTGTATTCAAGTAGATTTCGCTGTGATAATAGGACCTGAGTCGCGTCAAAAGAGAGTGAAGCAATGGCTTAGGCTTCCGTATTTAAAGGCGCCATTGTTCTTGCCCCTATTACGTCATGGTAACTGATGTGAAACAATTGGACTGCAGTTCTATTCGCCGAGCTAAGCAGATTCACCATTTAACTAGTACCCCACTGGCAGTAACCCACGCCGCTTATCGGGCATCCTGAAATATGAATGACGTCATATGTCCGCAGTTGCAAAGAGGCAATTTTCCCCTCAATCATCGCCAGAGTGTTTCTCTCGCGACCAACAAAACTCTTGATGTGAATGTTTCCGATTACTATATGTAGCACGTTGTACCAGTACCAAACAGATGACCTTCCGCTAACGAGGCGATCTATACGAACCGTGCCCAGGGAGGTCAATCGACTGGTTGTACCGGTCTATATCTGCAAATATGCAAGCCCTGCATCCTCACACAATTACTCGTCTGTAGACGAGTATTGTCATATAGCTTTGATTGACGTATTCTCTGTTTGAGAACTTTGTTGAGGCCGGTTGAAGGACAGACCATAAATACGAAGAAGCTAAAGAATTACACCTTTTACTTTCAGAGATCAAAGCAATCTATCTAACATGTCAAAATTCGTTCACAAGGCTGAAGAGGTTCTGACCGGCAACCACCACGACTCAATCCGCTCATCCGATTGTGAACCTCACAACTTGAACCCAGCTAGTAAGGTCGGACTCCATGAGGAAAATTACCATGGTAGGTGATCGCTCTCAGCGAGATAGGCATTTACTTTGTTTATCAGGAAGCTAACCTAGCTTGCGAAGACTAGCATGGGGGAACTGAAGGCTCACGCGACACTAGCATGACCAAGAAACCTGACCCAAAAATCGACAGTGAAAACGGTAGGAGAGGTTATGCACATCGACTTTAGTTACAGTAACGATGGCTGACTTAGTCAGACTCTCGAGGCACCCGACGCGCGCCTGATTATTACCATCTTGATTCGGCTGATTACTATGGTCATGGCGGACCCACTGGCCTCCACAAATCCTAATATCGCCAACGATCTTGATCCTCTTATTTCAGATAGACACAACCGAGCTCGGCACGAATTTGTCGCGAGCAGTAGTTTGGGCACGTCTACATAGACAAATTCCAGCGCTTCATTGATTTCGGCGCACGTTTCGACTACGGCATAGATAAACTTATATGCCACAAGTTCCTAGGTGCAATAGGCGTGTTTAGGTGCACCTGAAACGCTGAAAGAATATCACTACGCTGGAATTTTCCTACAAGGTTCACATCTCCATACCAATTCCGAGGCTCTTGACATCCAATCCAGCCGTGATGTTCTTTTGTCTCATCCGCTATATGCGGGTCTAGACATCTCTATTGAGAATTCGCACTGGCTAAAATTAAATAGTGAATGAGCTCTCTGGCTTCTTGCCGAGTTTCGGCCCAACTGTCTCAAGATCAGTGGCAATACACTTGACCTGGGACACGCACCAGAGCGGATTTCCTTTGTCAGATTTTGTACTTGTCACGACTGCAGGTGATATGCCACGCCTGCAAATGTCGTCGCACGGCCATGTAAAGACGGGCTCCCAAAGAGTGACGTTTCAAAGGTACTTAAAGTAAGCGTTGTTCTAGACTTCTAGCGTTCCCGAGTCTGTTGTCGATACTACGTCACACCGCACTATGACACAGTAACATCATAACACAGTAACAACATAACATGTCACTCGCCCAAATCAAAAAATTGCAGCCATGGTAAACTCTCAATTTGCAAAGACTTGATATTTCACCAGCTGATGAAGATTATCAAGCCAACGACATGATCTCGGCCTAGTTGCACCGTCGGAGCGAAAACTTCCATGATGTTGCTCCAGGCAACCCAGGTGCCTCGGACGTAGGCAAGAGTAATGGAGCAATTCGCAACTAGGTCGAACGCAGTACTGACCGGTTATTCTTAAATGCCAAAGGTACAAGGGAATTACCGCTTAAGAAGGGTCTAAACCCGTCGGTGCCAGTTGTCATGCTTGTGAAAAGAGGAATTTCAATTTTTCATGCAAATCATGACCAGCCTAAGGCTCTCATGGATGCGGAAACGGCATATGAGTAACCGGCGATGGAGCCATGAGGCGCAAATGAACACTTGAAGGCAGCCAGATCCAGAAGGTCAGCCTGTGAGCCCAGCTGTTTGTCCTCTTGGTCGAGCACTTGCTCGAGCAGCTTTAACTCCTCGATTAGAACTTCGAAATGTTCCGTGGGTGGATATTGGCTTTCTGTTACACCAACCGTACAGTGAGGTATAGGAAATGCGGAGGAGGTGCCTATCCACCACCGGGGCCGCCTGTTGATACATCACCTCGCTTACCTGCTTGCATACGCACAGAGGATCCCCTCAAAAGGAGGAGCTGGATCTTCTTAGGAGGACCAGCGATTAGTCTGAATATCATCATACCCATATCAGGCATATCTCACATTCTTCACTCGTATCCTTGTCGTATCAGGACGCCCTCCGGGGATTGTCCTAACATTCTAATCGCTTCATCTCGGATGCGACCGTCGAGTTGAGAATGCCTTTCACCCGAACCCGTGCCCGGCGTGCATCAGTGGAGGACGAAGTTGATTCCTCGCACGCTCGATCCGTCTCGGCGCAGTCAGATGCCCCAGAGGAACCCGTCATCGCCGTGGCTCCTCCGCCGAAGCGTATCACGAAGCGCGACCTGAACAAGCAACGAGCGGATCTCGCGAATTGGGACCGCTATGTGAAGGCTCAAGAAAAGATACGCGAAAGGCAACAGAAGGTGCTGGATATGCGCGAAGAACAGCAGAGGCAAGAGGCGCGGCTGGCAGCTATGGGCCCTCCTCTCGTGCCTGTGCCCCATGGATCGTCGTCCTGGGACCCATCGTGGTCGCAGGAAGGAGGTACTACACTAATACCACCTGTTCGAGCCCCGTCTCCGCAGCCGACGGAGTTTTCGACAGCCCCAAGCACTATAACCGGGCTTAGAACTCCAAGGAGCGCAGCGTCTTCAACAACCACAAACGATAAAGTGCCACCGCTACCATCTATCTCTCCATTCACTGCCAAGGACCTCGCAGACTGGATGCGATTCAAGAACCAGATGGTGGTGCATTTCCTACGCCATGAGACCTTCTACCAGCTAGACCGAAGAAGGGTCGACGCAGCTGCCGGGCTTCTAGATGAAGAGAGAACGAGCCAGTGGTTAAACTACCGAGAAAACCTCGCACGTGAGAACCTCACCTGGCGAACCTTCGAAGATTGGGCAACCTCTCTTGTAGCAGACCCAGACATGGTAGCGAAGGATAGCGTCGACGAATGGTACCGTACCAAGCAGTACAAGAACCAGAGCGTCACCGAGTACTCCACTAAGCTAGTGCAGCTGGAGAGGCTCATGCGGCCGGAACGCACGCGTGAACAGAAGATTGAGAGGCTAAGGTCAGGCCTTGTTGAGGAAATCAGCGTAGAAGCTCGCAAGTATGTCAACAAGCCAGCAGAAGGCGACGCGTACAATGCGTGGCTGCGTTTCTACGAAAAGATCGAGAAGCAACTCCCGGAAAGGCAGACTGCTATCAAGAAGAAGGAGCACACCTCACATCAGCCTGCCGAGAGGCCTTCAAACCCTCAAGGCCAGCACAAGAATGACCGCCAGCACTCCGTCAAAAAGGGCCGTGGGGGCTTTAAGGGGTCGTCCAACCGACCACCGCGACCAGAGGAAGTACCTAACACGGGCGAAAAGAGGAAGCGCGATGACGCGGAAGACAGGAAGCAGTGCACACATTGCAAGCTAACTGGACACACTGAGGATGTCTGCTACAGGAAGCACGGATTCCCTGCGGACTGGCCTCACAAGTCAAAAAAATAGATGACCTAGCACTGCAAACCGCATCAGTACTAGGTCTCGTCGTCGAACCATGGCGGAACCGTTCCTCTGCCCTCGCATGTGAGATCCTCGTGGCTACACCCGTAGGATGGCAGTGCGTGTGGGCACTAGTCGATTCAGGAGCTCAGAAGAGTTTTGTCAGCCAAGAATGGGCAAAGAAGCAACTGCGCGCCGCGCAGGAAGCACCCAGGCTCGTCACTGCAGTGGACGGCCACCAGATCAAGTCGTACGGAAGCAGGGACATGGAGCTCCAGCCTACCGACGCGTCGGGAGCCATGCGCAACGAAGATGTGACGTGCGAAGCAGTCAACATGCAGGGATATGACATTATCCTGGGCTATGACTGGCTGCAGCACGCCAACCCAGACATCAATTGGGCGCTAGGCACCTGGCTCTGGCGATCTCCATCTTCCCAGCAGAAGGAGGAGAACACCTTCATTGCATTTGTCGATGCCGGCAAGATACGCAAGGAGGTTCGCCGAGGAGGAATGCTTGGCATCTTATGGTGCCAGCCCTGGGGTGATTCCATCCACCTTAATATGATACATGAGGAGGAGAGACACTGCCACTGGAATATGAAGAATTCGAAGACGTTTTTGATTCGGATAATGCTGACAGATTACCAGAACATACCTCGCATGATCATGCTATCGACCTGTTCCCAGGCAAGCAGCCACCACACAGGCCAATCTATTCATTGTCACCCAATGAGTTAGAAGTGCTAAGAAAATACCTGCAGGATAACCTCAATCGAGGTTGGATTCGTCCATCCAAGAGTCCAGCAGGTGCTCCTATCCTCTTCGTACAGAAGAAGGATGGCTCCCTCCGACTATGCGTCGATTACCGAGGGTTGAATGAGGTCACGATCAAAAACAGACACCCGCTACCACTGGTGCAGGAGAGTCTTGATCGCCTCGCAGGCGCGAATATCTACACAAAGCTAGATCTCAGAGACGCCTATCACCGCATCCGTATCAAGGAAGGTGATGAGTGGAAGACCGCGTTTAGGACGCGGTACGGACACTATGAGTACTGCGTGATGCCTTTTGGATTGGCCAATGCACCAGCAACCTTCCAAGCTTACATCAACCGCGCTCTCAGCGACACGCTAGATGTGTTCGTAGTGGTGTATCTGGACGACATACTCATCTATTCAAATGATGAGGAGTCGCACCGGCACCATGTGAGAGAGGTACTATCCAGGCTCAGGCACTACCGGTTATACGTAAAGCGTTCCAAGTGCCTGTTTCATACCACACAAGTGGAATTCCTGGGGTTCATCGTCACACCAAGAGGTGTTGAGATGGACAAGAGCAGAATTGACAGCATCATGAGCTGGCCTGCACCTCAGAGTATTTTTGATGTGCAGCAATTCGTTGGCTTTGCCAATTTCTATAGGCGTTTCATACGGCACTACAGTGTTAAGATAGCTGCATTGAACGACCTCATCAGGGGCCCTGATGCACAGAAGAAGGGGCGGAATAAGAAGCAGGAAGGTTTCATCTTCACTCAAGCGGCCTAAGAGGCATTTGAGGAGACAAAACAATGCTTTAAAGACGCCCCTGTGCTAGCCCACTTTGATCCATCGAGAGATTCACAGCTAGACAGACGCATCAGGGTATGCTATCTCTGGAATCTACTCACAAAAGCAAGACGATGGCCAGTGGCACCCAGTCGCTTTCTATTCAAGAAAGTTGATCTCCGCGGAGACGCGCTATGAGACTCATGACCTGGAGATGCTAGCTATCGTCAACGCTTTCAAGACGTGGCGCCACTACCTAGAAGGGACGCAGAAGCCCGTGGTAGTATGGTCAGACCATGCAAACCTGAGGACATTCATGAGCACCAAGGAGCTATCGAAGCGGCAAGCACGTTGGGCCGAGCGCCTCGCTGCCTTTGATTTCGTTATCCTCCACAAACCAGGTCTCAAGAACCCCGCGGACGCGCCTAGCAGAAGGCCAGACTATGCCCGCGATGCGCCCTCGCATCAGGTCGACCCATACCAGCAGAAGCTATTTGAGAAGCTGAGAGCCAGCCTCAAACAGGGACCACTCGCAGACGATGACCCTGAAGCGCCTACAATGGCTGCTACCCTAATGCAAGGCCAGGAGTGCCAAGCTGTTGGTGGTATCGATAGCCTAGAGCTTCTATCCACCCGAGCAAGGGCCAGACAGGCCCTAGCAGGAGAGACGACGCTGAATGCCACGTCTACCGCCTCTATGGTTGAATACATCCGCGGAATGCAAGCTCAAGACCCGCAGCTGCAGCAGATTAACCACAAGATAGGGGCAACAGGCGGTGCAGGACGCTTGGGAGGCACTCCCTGGAGCAGGTCAGAAGAGGGACTACTACGGTTTGACGGCAGGGTTTTCATCCCCCGTGAGCCAGCCCTTATTGCTGAGATCCTAAAGGTGCACCATGATGACCCGTACGCGGGCCACTACAGGGAGAAGCGCACATATGAAGCTATCCGGAGCAAGTATCACTGGGATGGTATGCGCCCACAGATCCAGGAGTATGTGAGGCAGTGCCACACCTGCCAGCTCGATGCGGTGCATCGACACAAGCCATACGGCTTACTGGAACCACTGCCGGTGCCTCAGCAGCCATGGCAGTGGATGAGCGTCGACTTCATCACCGGCCTGCCATCATCCAAGTGGGATGGAAAGACCTACAATGCCATTATGGTCGTGGTCGACCTCTTCACAAAGCACTCATTGTATGTGCCTACCACCAAGGAGCTAGACGCCGCAGGCCTAGCAGACCTATTCTACGAGAAGGTCATGACCCATTACGGTATGCCTGAGAATCTCGTCAGTGACAGAGGAACCCTGTTCACGAGCGAATTCTGGTCATCCTTCTGCCACCAGCTGGGCACTCGTCGTCGCCTATCAACTGCCTACCATCCACAGACAGATGGGCAGACAGAGCGGCAGAACCAGACGCTGGAGTATTACCTGCGACACTACGTGTGCTGGAGGCAGAACGACTGGGCAAAGTGGCTGCCCCTCGCACAATTCGTATATAATACGACGACCCACAGTGCCTTGGGCATCTCACCTGCTGAAGCTCTCTATGGCGCACGACCGGAGCTACGTACCTCCGTGAACAATCCTTCCATGCCTGTTCATGCAGATGCGAAACACCGCACCACAGCTATTCAAAGCCTCCGCAGAGAGCTGGAGCACCGTCTCCAACGCTCAAAAGAGAATATGAAGAAGGCATATGACCGCAAGCATCAAGAGATGACGTTCCGCATCGGAGATTGGGTAATGGCTGATAACAGGCACATGGATCGGGACCGCCCGAACGAGAAGCTTGACCACAAGCGTGTGGGACCCTTCCAGATCGCCGGCCTAGCTGGTAAACAGGCTTATAAGCTCATCATGACACCCCGCTACCGCAATGTCCATCCGACCCAGCACGTCTCGCGTCTTGAACCGTACCAAGGTCCTCCCGTACGGGATGAGCACCCTGACCCTGTGATGGTTGACGGTGCTCCTGAGTTCTACGTGGAGCGTATCTTGGAGGCAAAGCGGTGGGGCCGAGGAGTACGATATCTGGTC